AAAATAAATAAATAAAAATAAAAAATACATCCTGAACGATTAATAAGTACTTAGGGGAGAATGTAGAACACAGGGTACAAATGGAGTGTAACAATTTCCGTTGCTATTGGATAATCATGCCGAAATGGATCTCCCGTTTTGTACGTCTTACCAACTCCTCTGTATTTAATTATCATATTTATAAATATTCATATTTTCAAAGTTATCATTGAGGTCATCTATTGCTTTCGTTATTTCGTCGATCTCGTCGATTTCGTCCATTTCGTCAAAGTTTATGTCATTCGAATCGGCGTTGCTTTCCTCATCGGGGTTGTCTTCGTTTTTATCCTTTTCGTTTGCTTTTTCCTGAACTATCGGGGTACTGTCTGGGTGCTTCTCTTCAACGCCTTGTTCCTCCTTGCATTGATCAATGCTCCCCTCATCGTGGTAACCCTTTTTGGGGATTTCTTCCTCCAAATTTGAGGCATTATTGGGGCTATCACTATCAGATTTGTGCATGTCGGATGAAAGTTTATCTCCATTGAGCAACTCATCATTCACGCTACTCACGGGGGTCAAGTGGTTTAGGTGCCTCTGCAACTCGTCCATATTCACTGTGGTGTGACTCACTGGGTTCTGCTCTGCGTTCATACTTGTGGCCTCTTTGCTAACTTGGTCAAGCACCATGTCAGATACTCCTCCATGCACATTTTCGATTGTAATGTCGCACAGTCCCTTTGCATTTGTTTGTTCATTTGCTCTGTCTAACCCTACATCGGGGGGGTTTCTTTCCGATGGGGTTTTCAAATTGCTCTGTTTTTCAGCAACGCCACTGGCATTCATCTCCAGGTTCGCCTCACCACTGTTATTGTGGGTTTGGCCAAAATCAAACGTTTCGAATAAATAATCATAGTTAGCTTCATTTTCCTTGGTAAGGGGCCGCTCCTTGGTGATGTTCCCCTGCTCGGTACCTTTCGGTTCATTTTGCTTGGACACATTTTGGCTAGTTTCTACAGAATCAATTATATTATCAAAATTGATTCCATTAAAAGGGGGGTCGCTATCCCTGGACACGTTGACTTTTTGTCCCCTTTTCTGTGAATTATTTCGATTGGAAAGGTCGTTTATGTCACTAGTTTTTACTACACTACCATTTTGTACATTCCTAGCGATCGCATTTGAGTCATTAGGGAGAGAGTCCCCTGTATATCCTACGTTTCGGTTTCTACTTTTCTCGCTCAAGTAAGACTGCTTAGAAATTTCAATTTGTGTCAAATTGAAACTGTCCTTTGTTAGACCTACTTGGAAGTTCTCTTCATCCGGTTGACTTGTTAATATATGAATATGGGAAGAGGGGGTTGTTTTCCCAGGGATGGGAACTACTGCATCCCTCTCATTTTTGTGTAATGATGAATTGTGGCCAAGGGGCGGAAGATCATTGGCTTTGTTTGAAAGGAGATTTGAATTTTGTCCCTGCCCCTTTGGTAATAAATTGTTCCTACCTTTGTCACTATCAAAATTGTTATTTCGAGTTGCTGGCTTGTTCGGTGCGTTACCGTCTTGTTGCGCCATATGAACGGGTGGTAGTTGATTCGATCGTTTGAGCGCTGTGGTTTGGGAAGTGACGTTAAGGCTACCCAGAGACGGTTGGAAGTTATTACTTGAGTGATGAGCAGAATTATTTGTAAAGTTCAGTTCGTTGAAAACGCTATATTTGTCTTCCATCTCGCTAGGCTTTTTAGGTGCAGTTTTCCCCTCCGGTTTCATGGATTCGTCACCAAAAAAGGAAAAGAGATTTTCACTGTCATACGATGCACCGTCTTTACTGTTAAATAGGGTGTCCGTCTGTTTGGTCATAAACTTGGAGGAAGTGGCGCTGGTAAATGTTGCAACCGGTTCGTTGAAAAAGCTGTCGTTTTCTTGTTCCACTTCATTTTTATCTTCCTTCTTTTCGGTGTTCCACGGGTCGTATTTGTTAAAAATAATTTCGTTAATATTTGATTGGTTGAAGGTTTCCTTCTTTTTGTTTTTCTTTTTTTTGTCCTTCTGCTTAAGTTTTTCGGTTTCCTCTTCCGTTGCCTTGTCCCTCAGGGTGGACTTAAACCCATTTTCGCTTCCATCCGCGTTTTCTCGCTCCTTTTCCCATTTTTCAAAAATGCAAATCTGGTCGTTAATGTACAGAAGAGAATTTAGCGTGACGGAGATGTTGACGTTACCCTTGTAGTCGGACAATTTGTTAATGCTTTGGAAGATGAGATCTTTGTACTTGGCCAGGATGGCAATGCATTTTGATTTCTCCTCATCATTATACATGTGTTTAATTTCTTTTAAACTTTTCATTATATTGTTAATTTGTGGCAATTTTAGAGGCAAATCGTGAAGTATATTATCGTCCGAGAAGGAGGGAGAGGTGTCTGCATTTTTCACGTAAAATTTCTCAGCCTTATTAATAATTGGGAAGGTAATTCCTTTTTCCTTCAAGGATTTATATTCATTAAAAACAGCAGCAGCTATGTGCTGATGGAGGATAAAAGAATCATGCCATAACTGTAACATGAATAGGATTTTTCTCTTTATGAAATGAAGTCTTGGATCTGTTGCTACCCCTGGGTGGATGATCGGGACGATGAGAAATTTAGATAACTTGGACTTAACATCTTTCGTAATGGACTTTTTCAAAGTTGTTGTTTTTAGGAGAGCACTTATTTTTTTCATAAAACTTTCATCTAGAAATCGAACAAAAAAAAGGCCTAAATTTTTGACACAGAAATTTAGGAACTCTAAAGAAATTACTACTTCCTCGGGGACATGTTTTTTTTTTAATTTCTTCCCAATGATTTTTATGGTGTATATTATAATGTTGACCTTTTCTTGCATATAAGTTAAAACGTTATATGCTCTGTACACATCTAGGAATATTATGTCGTTTAAGCAATTGATATTTTTTTCATTATATTTTAACATTTCATTCGAATCGATATTTCCATGATTTCGTAGCAGGTTATCAAGACAGGTGCAATACGTCTCATCGTTATTTATATTTCTTAAGTTATTTATTTCGCTTGTGTAGTTATTTCCAAATCCTGTGATGTTATAATTTATGTTTTGAATTTCTTTGTTATTTAAAAAGCTTTCTAAATTTTGGCTATTCACTACGTCTCTATTGACTGCGTCTCTATTTGCCGACCTCGTCATATTTGCCTTCTTGGCATACTTCCCTTGCAAGGAGTTACTGTACTGATTTGTGCCACTTGTACTGTTTTGCCTTTTCTCTGCTAGGTTATTTTCGTAGTTACGGAAAAAGTTAAAGTTGCTCTTGTTGCCTGGTATGTTCCTACCATCGGAGGTAAATTTCTGCTGCGGCTTGGCTATATTGCTTAGGTAGCTTATTCCTTTAGCGAGGTTCAGATTTTTAAACTGATTTTCGTAGAAGGAGGTGTCCGCTGAGGCCCCTGACCTGTCATTGAAGTGGCCTCCTCCTCCACCGGCACCATGGCACACGGGGCTGTTTATGTTGTAGTTAATATTACTCAACATATTGTTAAACGATTTCATGCAGTTATTCGATATAGCACTGATGTTGGAGCTTTTGAATATGCCTAGAGATTTCTTTTTCCCCGACTTGGAGTTATCGCTTGATGAGTCCCTCCTCGCGCTTGAACCCATATTTGAGGGCGACCACAATGGGTTTCTGTTCAAATCCCAGTGCTCATTTTTCCCTTTTGTCACACTGCCTCCGCTCCACTTGTCGTTATTTGCCGCGGCTTCATTTGTTGGGAAATTCATCCCACCTTGCACGTTTCCTCTGTTCTCTTTCGCATCTTTTCTTTTTCTGATTCCCCCGTTATCCATTATCTCTTCGTCTCGCGCATGTAGTTACGGGCGTGCCTCCTGCGTGGAGTCCGCGTATGGGCACTGCGGTAGGTAAATGAGGTAAGGGGCGCTAGCATGTGCGCACAGAATGGTGCCAACAATTGCCACAAAAACGACAAGTACGCTAATGGATGCACAGGTTGTCTCTTCTTGGGAACAAATCAGAAAATACGGCGGAAAGGCATCAATGCAAATGTTTGCCTTAACACGTGAATGAGAAAATTCGAAGGGTTTTTTTGCGTCTTCAAAAACTGGCGTTTCGATTTTTTCTTTTTTTTTTCATCAAGAGTTCAAAAAGTACGTGACGCGGAAAACGTAATAATTGGGCTCATTCGAGTGCAATTATTAGGCTGCTCCTATTTTGTATGTTTTCAAAATATGTGATGGGCAAAATATGCTAGGTGTTTTTTTTTCCTTATTTTTTCTTCGCCCCCTGTTTAGGTGTATATTTATTTGGACACTTGGTTGGGAAGGATGGGCCTCATTTCTCTGACGTCTGCAGGCCTCGTCTATTCTCGGTCAACCAAGCGACAGGCATGTCATGTGTAAGCATATGTGCATTTACAAACGGTGGGTTGCCCGCGTTAGCAACTGTAGTGCCCTCTCGCCACTCCCACTTGTGCGATGTCCGACGGAGGGCGCGCGCCGGCGATCCGCACACGTTTATCTGTATATCTATAAATTTATATATGTATATGTGTACATTGTAGGTGGGCATGAATGCAGGCACATAACCGCACATGTACATATAAGCCATCACAGGGAGGTAAAACAGGAGAAATAAAAAACATTCATAGAAATCTCCCAGCGGCTATGGACTTAAAAATCTTGCCACGGCGTTAAAAAGGGATATATATGCACATGTACAGGGTTCTTATCTATGCATTTTTCAAAAAATTCCGTTAGGCCTACACAAAAAAAGGCGGAGTGATCCAGACAATACGTTCATATATGCATATGTATACATTTCTCGATTTTATGTTAAACTTCTGCGTTTTGAAGTTTAACATAAAGTCGAAGGTTAAAGATGTTGATTTTGTGGAAAGATTTCTCTCCCCCCAAAATGGAACGTTTTAACAGTTTAGCGATACTATCAAGTCGTACAGTTTGCTGAAAGTTGAGTAAGCTATCGAATGAACTGAAAGGGATAAAAAAACGGATTGAGAGGAGCAAGCATGCCATGTTACCTGTATACACGTACATATGTACGTACTTGCGTGCGATTTTGCGAATAACAGCCATAGCATCGAGTTCGCAGTTTCGCCATTACGCATGGTACATATGTAAATATGTACTAAATGGTTGATTGACTTCTTCCTTTTCCTTTCCTTCCTTCCGTTCATTTTTTTTTATTTTTTAAAAGGTTAATTTCCTTCCATTTTCAAAAAAAAAAATCTCAAAAAATGCTGGAAAGATTTTTTTTTTCACAATATTATTGCACACATCTAACAGTTTAACAAATTGTATCAGTGGAATAATGATGTTTTGCAAAATTGTGCTGGAAGGAAAAAATGAATTTTGAAGTCGCACGAAGAGCGAACATGTGAGAGAGGCAAAAAAAAAAAAAAAAAAAAAAAAAAAGGAAAAAAAAAAAAAAAAACAAAAAAAAGGAAAAAAAAAAATAAGAAAATAAGAAAGTAAGAAAATAAGAAAATAAGAAAGTAAGAAAATAAGAAAACGATAAAATGAGAAAATATGAAAAAATTTGAGGGATATAGTAGCAGAGTACCATGGCATGTATAGCAAAGTTAGAGGAGCACAACCGAATTGAAAAAACGCCAACATAAGGCATATGGGATTAGTGTAATAGTAGGGATTGCTCATAAATCGGGACGAACATCTACATACATACACATGCATATGTATGGATCCCTCCACCTTCGGCTTCCTATTCATAGCCGGAAAATTCATAATTGTCAATCTTCAGAGAAAAATATATAAGGCGGGTTAGAAGGCACCGCAAGTATAAGCAAAGTGGTAAGCATCTGAGCAGGAAAGAAAGGAACAAATGCGCGTAAGGAAATTATAAGGACAAGCCTTTCGCTACCTCTCGTTTGGCCGAATTCGTCGTTTGTGTGTACAAGAGGAGGATCTATTCTCGTGTGTGCCCATTTAAGCATAACGTCGTAGATAACTACCTCGTGGCTGCAGCACATTTGGGACAGTGCTCTGTCTGTAACAGACCCACCTGCGCTTATTTCGTTCCACCTCAATCTAATTTGTAAGAAGTGGACCCTTATGACAAGTGACGAAATAGGTCACTTCTACTTGCGAGGAAGATGAAAATATGTCTTGCCTGTAAGTGGAAAATTTAATTTCAGTTTCGCCTGCTCGATGTTTACATTTGGAGAAAGAAAAAAAAGAATCGCGCTTATTAGCGGCTCCCTCCAGGATGTCAACGCGTATATATATGTGCCTACATATGCATTCACCTGTGAGTGAGCCCCCCTACGCGGCGGTGCAATATGCTCCCTTTTTTTTTTTGGAAGAAACCAAAATGAAGCACCGTGAGACGTAGTGCGCGAAGAGTCACACCAGCAGCAAACAGATACTATATGATGCTATTTCTACTGCTAGTCGTGGCCTTCGCTACTGCTAATGAATCTCATTTCGGCTTAATATTGAAAAGTAAAAATCCGGCGTTTTTACCTGTACACACGGGATATTCTAAGCGTAAGATGAAAAAAGGAGAAAGGAAAAGTGCGTGGGAACTGCTTGCACGAATGAAGTTCCGCCGCCCTCCCCTGACGTAAGTACATATGTTCACATAGACGTAAATTAATCCATGGTGGGTATTATCTTCCACTTTACACTAACCTTAGACAGCAATGCGAGAGGAAGAAGCAGCCACCTTAGACGATATTACACAAAAGAGGAGTCAGGGAATAGCAAATTTCGCAATAGGGACATTTTCAAGTTCGGCTCATTTGAGGATGATCAGATAAGCGATGAAGGCGATTCGAATGAGTACGAAGAATTTGATGATCAAGATTACGACAATGTGCACGACGATCGGTTAGGTGACGACCACGTAATAAATGAGGAGCCAAAGGACGATCCAGAACTTGTTCGCTTCGACGTTTTTCGTGAAGAAGAGAAGGAAAGGACGGAGGAGGGGGAGAAACTGAATGGGGAAGATAACCCGACTGCAAATGGACAGAATGAAGACGAATTGAAAGACGAGTTGAAAGGCGAAGTGAAAGACGATGTGAAAGAAGAAGGAGATAATATAGAGGGGGAAGACTCCCTATGGATGAAGTCCAGGAGACAAGTTGCTGGAAAACATAGATATAATGTATACAACGACGAAGTAACAAAAAAAGATGACAATGAAATAGATCTACAGAAGGCGGATAAAATAGATAGGGAACAGGCAAAGTTGCCGCCATACATATACCAAGGAGGAAAGGCATACGAAGGAAAAGCAGAGGAGTATGAACCAGAAGTATACGATTTTCATACGTATAATAAATATTTCGAAGAATTGTGTAAGGAGAAAAAGTCAGCAATAGATTCTTATCAGTTGGACAAAAGTCAGCTGGATGAATCCTATTTTGATGCCAAGAAAGGGGGACCGAAGACATTTGGTTTTAAATTTAAACAAATTCAGCCTGTAAAATATCATCAAGGAAGAGCATACACCTATTTTTTTATGCATTCCCATGAAGTAGAATTGTCTCCCATTTTTTTGAATGCCTTTAGGAGAGTAGCGATCAAACATTTAAAAGGAGGCAGAATTACAGCCTTGAGAATCCCAAATATGAAACACGAATTTTATTGTATAGTTGGAGTAAGAGAAAATTTTTTTGATTTAGCTCAGAATTTAAGACATATCACTTTTAAAAATGTGCCTGAGCATGCAGATATGGATAATTACATGACAGGGAAATTTCGGATAAAGGGACCCATGATCGTTGTGGCTGGACATATGCAATTACCAAAAGGAATCGAAATTGTAAACAGAAATCAGTATATCTGTTCCGTGTCCGCTGGAAGCTATCTCGAAATGGATGTAAAAATTGAAAGCATTGAAGAGTATGTCATGCCAGAATATGGAAGCCAATCAAGAAATAGAGACATTTGTAAAGACAATTTTATTCATTTTAGCAGCAGTTGCACACCTGTGGAATATTTTGGATTTATGGGACAAAGGAGAGGGATCAATTTGGATACCCTTGGCGAAATTAACATTGTCGAAATGCACACGGATGGTTCTATCACCCCGAAAAGTGCCCTATTGAAAACTATTGATTATATATCTGAGAATTTTCAGTACATGGAGAATGCACTATACAATAATTGCCACACATGTGATGATGGATCTGTTCAGGAAGAATTTAGGAACCCAGAATTTTATATGGACAAAGATAGATATACTGATGTGCCATGGAATAAGTATAAAACAACCGCAGAAGAATTGGAGGATACCAAAAAATGGCTTTATAGGAAGGATGTTGCTAGGCAATATGACATAGACCCAGAAAGTGCGCAATCGAAACAGGAAAGAGAGATATTATGGGAGAAAAAGAAAAAATTTTTGAAGGAACTTGACAAAAGACGAGAACAAATTAAGAAAGGACCATCTGTATCTGAGGGAGAATATATTCCATCTGAAGAAAGACATGACTGCTTGCTCGATTGGCCCGTGGACAAATCTGAGAGAAATATGAATCCCCCCAGATGGGTCGTTGAACGGCCTCTCGATAAAAGTCCGCACATAGGTCACGAGGAAATTTACGACGAGGGTATTTAGCGTGCGTGGGAACAAAAAAAGGGCAAAAAGGTTGCGCACACACGGATGGGTAGAGAACAGGACGCGGCGGTTTTCCTCAAAGGGGGGTAAAATTTGTGTAGGCAAGGTTTGTTTGAAAGGCGGGTAAATTGTGTGCATGGAATTGTTTTCCCGAGCGTTTGTTTTGTTTAGACCGTTTGCTTAGCCCATTTGTTTTCCCGATTTGTTGCCCCATTTATCGCTACATCTTACTTTTCTTTCCTTTCCTCCTTATTTTCCAAATTAAAAGCACGGAAGTTGCGGAGGGACACAGCACTGTCTTGCAATTCCCGAGCGGAGTTGCCTTTTTGGCCAAATTAACACATGAGCCAACTTGCGTGGGCAAGATCCAGCGAGTGTGGGCCTAAGTGAATAAGCTGTATATGTGGCATTATTCTCCGAAAAGGAAGAAAGTTAAAAAAAAAAAAAAAACTTTCGTGTACATAACAAATGAAGTTTTTTTTTTTTTTTTTTGACGATGGCGTCATTACTTTTTTTTTTAATTTTTTAAGAAGACTTTTTCGCTTGCTGCGAAGTAAGAAAAAAAAACCTGCAAATATGTTCACAAATTCATTCTTACACGCACATATTTATGTATATCCATTCTTCAGTAAATCTGTCTTTTTGAAGCTACTTTGTCAAATGACGTTTTTGCATAAATGCAACAAGGCGATTTATTTTTTTAAGCTTTGAGGCTTTATTCCACACAAATTGAGGATTTTTTTTTCTGTCATTTTTAACTTTAACCCTTCAGGAGAAGGCGGCAGAACAATGAAGAATTTAAGAATAACGTTTGAAGGGGACACTTTTTTTTTCTTTTTCTCACTTCTTCTCTATCGAACAATATATCGAGAGAAAAGAAATGATCAATTAGCAAGTCGAATTTAAAAAAAATTAAAACCACGGCTTGGTGAACTTTCCTCTTTTGGTGAGTCTGATTTGTGAAGTTCATTTCGCTTTTTTTTTCTTTCATAATAAGAATTCCCAAGGAGTTTGTAACTGTTTTGTTTTTCTTCAATTTATATGAAAACTTTCGCCTAACAGAGTGGTTCCGCACGGTTTGTGGAAAAATGCCCCTTTTTTGTGAGTCATTTTAAAGGTATACGCGTGCGTGTGTGCATATGAGTGTTGTATATGTGTACGCTTTTATAACCTCCGCAAGCGACGTCGCTGCACATAAAATAGTGCCGCCTGTTATTGTGCACAAAATGAATACATCCCCCCGCCGTAGCCTTCACATTCATGCTTAAAAAGCGGCGCACAGGATTTCTTCAAATAATTTTCCTGCAGCAGTAGTACACTTAATTACATTTAAGAGAAACGTAAAGAATAACCATATGACGACGCCCATGCCCAGGGGAGAATAAGATATAATGCATGGGCAAAACTGCACACCGGATGACCCCCCCACGATTTTGATTTTTTTAATTTAGAGACGTACGGGAGGGGCAGAATTCACGACCGATATGCATATGCGCGAATATATATAGACATAAATATTTTGAGAGAATTACATTTAGGCGCATCAAAATGCTAACTCTAATTTCAGTTTGCTCGTACTTGTATTATGCACACAGAGATTCTATACTCAACTTCGTGGGGTTAAGTAACAAGGAAGATCCAAACGAAAGTCAACAAAATAGGGGAAGCACTCGAACGAATAAAAGAAGAGTTAAAGGAAAAAAATCCGTAAAAGGAGACCTGAGGTCTTTTTCCGATTCAGACATGCGCAGGAAAAAGTTTATCTTAAGAACATACAGCGATGTCGATTTTCACATAAAATTGCAAAGCAAGAAAGGTAAAAACAATTAGTGTCACTAAGGGAATTTTTTAAATAACATTTCAACTTATTTTTCTGTGCGTCCATCTTCGGTTTTTACATTTTACTCATTACGCTTTATATGGGATGATGAATTAGCTGAAACTTGAGATGTGTAAAAGTGTGCACGTGAATTTTTTTTTTCTACCCCTCCCCCCCTTGGTGCGTCCCTTTTGGCGTATATTCCACCTGCACTGCCGTTCGTATTTTCAATTTTTTTTTTTTTTTCACTTGTTATGAAATTTAACCCTTCTCAATTCTAACTCCCCCTTGTGTCACATATTTATTAACCCCCTAATGTTAGCGATGTATGTAGACCATCGCCATCATGGAATCAACCATATGCCTGAACGAGAGCACACATGTTTATGTGCGAAATGAACGGTGTAAGAAGCTTCTATTGATTTGATTTGTGAAATTTTTGTATCAGTTTTTTTTTTTTTTTTTTTTTTTTTTCTATTTTAACATTGCAGTGCGTTGTCTCTGCATTGAGCCGCGTTAACTTGTGCGTGAATGCTAATACGCAGGTGTAGGTGTACATGTAGGCATATGTCACCTCTGGCGGAGAGCAACGAAGTCAGAAGGGAATGACGCCAAAGAGGCGTGGCTTAGGATGTTCACAAGCTCCTCATTGCCCTATCTTCATTTCTATGTCTTTCTTGCAACTGAGTTATCAAGTGGGATTGTAAATTTCCAGCATAATAAATGCAAATGTTCAAATAAAAATAGGTGAACAGCTAGGGGATATGCAAAAGGGGAGGGCCTTTTGCTTGGTACATGGAAAAGGGTCTGTAGGAAGTTGGCGCGCTGCGAAAGACAGTTTTGCGCCGTTGAGACTTTGATTATTTGAGGATATATTTGTTTATTCAAATCTTCATGCACATGTTTTTTCTCTGCTTTATTTCTATCTTTGTTTGTTTTTTTGTTTCTTTTTTTTTTTTTTTTTTCATTCCCCAATGCACACACACAGGCGCTAAAGTGCGCAACAGCCTCATGGTAACGACATATCCACGCTGAATAACGAGAAGAAGAAATTGAAGAACTTCCACAGATGGGGCAATTACCAACGCAGCGTCAACAAGTGGCATAGCAAAAATAATAGGGGATGGAAAAAAAAACGATATAAGCATCAATAAAGAGAGAGAGAAAAAAAAAAATGGACACTTGTGATTACAAATTAAATGTCAATTACCCGTTTAATTTAGACGAAGAGAGGAAAAAAAAAAAAAAAGAAAAAAAACATATAGAAATTTTCTACGAAAATGATTCTTATTTGTATTCCCCTTGCATAGACGTGGAAGGTGCGTTGTGCGTTATTGCAGCTGGGGGAGAAATCTTCAGGTATAAATTAGAAAGCCAGAAAAGGGATGGAAAAGGCAGAGACAAATTAGCTTCGACGTCGTCATCAAGTGAAGAGGAAGATGGAGACGCCACAGATGAAGGTGGCAGCGACAGCGGAGAAAATGGTCAAAGTGATCAAAGCGGGGAAGATGTACGAAATGGAAGAAAAAAAACGAATGCTCAGAACGCAGAGCGAGAAAAATATCATAGCACTGATGTTGAAGCGGAATGCTTGTGTGCGGACAACGATTACAACTTCTACGTTTTCGACCCTAGTAATAAAAAAAAAAAAAAAAAGTAGCATCATACAATGTAGTGACGCAGAATATATGTCAATGTAGAATATCGTCAGACAGTGCCAAAGGGTACTATGTGCCCTTTACATAGGGAGAAGCATCTCCCAAAAGGGCAGTTAATTAACGTGCTTATTGCATTATACGCACCATGTCCCGTATGTGGAGATTAACATTTAGAGTAATTTGTGACCCTGGGGTACGGTTCAATAGCTGCTCAGATTTTATATGTTTAACACCTTGTTGGTGTAATATGTATAGCATTTTTCTCCACTAATATGCTCCATTTTTCTTTTTCTTTTCCTTTTTTTTTTTTTTTTTTTTTTTTGCAATCCCATTTGGCAAATGTGAACCCCCCTCCTTCCCCCAATGCTGAAGTGACCCGCGGGCTGATGGTGATAAACAAGAAGAAAGAAATGGAGTTGTACACAGACGAGTACGAAGATCAGCATTTCCACGGAGTGAACAATTTGGTTTATGATAAAAAAAGGAACATCCTATACATTATCGATTCGGGAAACATCAATGAAGAAAATAAGTGTAACTTGTTCTATGTAAATAAAGACATAGAAACGATGATGTCCATAGATATTCCAAACATGTCGTACGCACATAACCTATGTGTATATGAGAAGGGTACGGCGAATGATATATACGTCTGTTTGACGAAAGAAAATAGAATTGTGAGATTAATTAGTAGAGGAAATTCTTACATTAAGTGTCACTTTCTACAGATAGATGGTTGCTACTCCCCTTTGTTCATTTGCACGGATAATACGAACTTTGTTGTGCTGCTCAAAGATTTAAGTGGTTGCCAAAAAAGGGGGAAACTTCTCGAAATAGATTCCAACGGGGAAGTAATAAACACCATTTTCACGGACGGCTGTCAGTTTAATGGCATATGTTACGACGATAAGGTGGAGAAGTATTTTTTCATCGAGAGGAATGTTATTTATACGTATTAGGGGGAAATGTGTGTGTAGGTGGGTAGTTACGAAGGGGGGGTAAAATATACAATCGTTGATGATCATATAGGACAGAAAAAGGGATCCAGACAAAAAAAAGAACTTCCCTTTTTTGCTTCACCATTGTGGCTAGAGATACGCGAAATGTGGAGCCCCATGGGGCTAGCTAAAATTTGATTTAACGTCTGTTGTGAGCGCGGCGTGGTCGAGCATCGCGTGTCATCCCTTTTTGGCCACTCCTATTTTTTACTCTTGTGAAATTTTTTTTTTTTTTTTTTTTGAGCGTAATTTACCAGGGGGAAAGCGAATGACTTATTACGCTTCTCCCCATCCAAATGCGTAGTCAGCGCAGAACTTCTTCCCATATCAGCTGACATGTGGCAATTCGCAACCATTTAACTCTATTTTCAATGGTACCGCTCGACTTAAGGTATGCATTCTAATTCTCCTTCTTGTGGGTTTATCTCAACCTCACACAGAACGCAGATGTGGCCTCTCTACAGCAGCAAGTCGTCGATGTCTTTCCTAATTTTGAGCCTGGCGTTATTTTGCATATTTAACGTTATGGCCAGCTTGCTCGAAATGTAGGGCTGCTCTACGAGGCCGGTGGAAAGCAGGGTATTATTAACGACGTCAATGATTTCATCATCCGATAGCTTAAGAGTAGCAAATTTCGTTTTGTAAAATCGGAGGAGCGAAGAATAGTACGCATAAGCCAAGTAAAGGAGCTGCGTATTGGACATCCAACTGCTCAGATAATTCGAGACGTTAACATTTTTTAATAAATAATCATTTGGATTTAACACCTCAATATTTAGATCTTTTATTTGTTGATAGAACAATTCATCTGCTTCATTGAGTAGTAGAATGCCCGTTCCTTCTTTGTTGCTTCTGGCGGTTCTGCCAACGCGATGTATATATTGCTCCCTCGAAATGGCACAATTTACTTGAATAATTAGGGTTACATCAGGATAGTTAATTCCTCTAGAGCTTATATCTGAGGTGAATAAGATTCCCACCGATTCTACAGTAAATCGATTAGCTGTTATTTGTCTTTGAGCGGGTTCTTTTTTTCTGTGAATTTCGTAAACGGCAATTTTTAGCTGAGTTTTAAAAAAATTTGCATAAAAGCATGTAGCTCTAGCAGTTGGGAAGAACACTAATATTTTGTACGTGAACTGATTTAATCTCATATGCTCCATCAGCAGATTGTACAGGATAACCGTCGTGTCAACTGCTTTGTGAAAAATGACATACTGCTTTAGCTGTTCGTTCGTGTGCTTTGAGGGGTCCTTTACACAGTTGAGGAAGAGATAGTCCGGCTTGCACATTTTCTTTCTTATTTCTTCTATATTATGCCTTAACGTTGCTGAGAAGAGGAAGTTTCGCCTCTTCTTGGGCAAATATGTTAGTATTCTGTTGATATCATTTTCGTATCCCAAACTTAGTAGCTGGTCTGCTTCATCAATAATCAGCATCTTCAAATTATCAAACAGGGTGTTAAATAAGTATGTACATTCAAAGTGATCTAGCAGCCTTCCTACTGTGCAGATAACTATGTCTGGTTTAATTCTTCTGAGATTTATTTGATCTTCTCTTCTTTTTATTCCTCCAATTAGGGTTAACACGTTGATATTATTTTTAAAGGTTAAAAGCAGCTTTGCTTCGTTATAAATTTGATTTGCCAGTTCTCTCGTGGGCACTATTATAAGTGTGTGGACACTCATAATTCTGTTCCTTTCGATGTCATTTATTGCTAGAAGTAGGTAGGAGATAGTTTTCCCTGTCCCGGTTTTTGCCTGAACGAGTAGGTCATTTGTTTTTTTTTTCCTTATAACATTTTCGTATATTATCTTTTGCACATCTGTGAATTGCTTGTATTTGAACACTTCTAGAAGGCTTCTCTTTGCGTCTCTGTCAATTTCTTCTGCCTCTTCTATGCTGATTCCGCCTCCGTCTTCGTCTTTGCAGAGAAGGGGTTCTGCATCCTCCCCAGGTTGCGGCTTTAGTGGGGCTACTTTCGACGTGTGTTCGCTTAGTTGAGGCGAGGGGTTACGCTGCTCGGCGTTACGCTGCTCTGGGGTAAGCTCCTCCGGGGGGATCTCCCTGAGGGGGACTTCTCCACAGGCAGCTCCCGCACCTACTCTGCGCTCATCCTGCGAGCCCCCGCTGAATGTGGCCCCCTCGTTAATGCCACCTGCGGTCGACGTGTAGGAAGCGTTCTTAGAATCCCAAATGGGGACTCCGCTTTTATGTGCACAAAGGTCGGTCGAGCCCCTTCGCAAGAAAAAAAAACGCTTGCCACTTCTGGAGGTAAATGTGGAACGCTTCAAGTTTACCTGGCTGAGCAAAAACGATTTCGTGAATCCGCTGCAACAGTGTTTCCGCGGGGGGACAACTAAACTGAGCATTTTTTTTAAAATTGCTTTTTACGAAAGAAGAGGGCAGGCGAGAGGCATTTAGGGGGTACTATCTCGACGGGCTCATTTCACACAAACGGAAAGTCGCGATGCGTGCGCACGTGTTTAAGAAAACATATATATTGCAGACGTATGAACATACGTATGGAACCATACATATGTAGGCGTTTTATTGTCCCATTTGACATTTGATTTCTCGCATCTGCGGAGAGCACCCCTCGGGTTTGCGTCCGTCCTCTTCCCAACGCACCAATTCAAAGGGCACAGAGAAGGGGGAAAAAAAAATTATGTGTTCGCACCTTGTGCGAATGTTTAGCTAACCATAAACGGGTTCGCGTGCTTAGATGTTAAAGCAAGTAAATGCACATGTGAATGGGAAAATATCCCACAGCTTTCGCGATTAAAAGAATGTTCCTTTTTTAGGGGGGGCGCTGCTTTTTTTAACATTCTTATCTTTCACCCTGAAGGGGGCGCGAACAGAGGGGCGTAGGCATACAAAGAAGCTCCATACCGAATTGCAATTCATACATTTCACATATATTTTAGTCTAAGCCCCATTTGGGGGTAGGCATATAAAAAAATAGAGCCCCTTTATTTGGTGGACCCCACGGGTGAATGCCAAACGGACTAGCCAGTATAGCCTAAATGTAAGTATTTTTTTCTTTTTTTTTTCCTCTGTGGTGAGGCAGACCAAATCTGTTGGTAGGGAGGCTGGTTCTTTTTTTTTTTTTAATTTTTCCCATCTGAGGTGTTCATAAATATACACTCCGGTAGATGGATGTAATTTGCAAACAAGCAAAATGAAGGAATCGACAAATGGAGAAGCCAATCTGCAGGGGGGCGAAGATGATGTGAGTGATAAGGGTAGAAGTGACCGTGGTCCACGTGGGGAAAAAGGCGTGGAACCAAATATGAACCCAAGCGACAATAACACATCTAGTGCGGTGCAGGTGAACCATGAGGAGATCGCGCAGGAGGAAGCGGACGAGCTAGGTGAGGACGCACTGAACGAAATGTTTGACGATTTTTTGAAAGACATCGAAAATATTTCCTCCACTATGGAAAAGCAAGAAGAAGGAAAAAGATTAAATAAGGGGGATGCACAAAGTGAAATAGATAGATTATTAGCAAATAAAAATAGCTCACCATTTGAAATATTTGATATACATGAAGATATCAACATGGAAAAGATTAAGAGCAAGTATAGACGGCTGTCTGTGCTTATCCATCCAGATAAATGTAAAATTGAGAAAGCCAATGAGGCGTTTCACATTTTAAATAAGGCTTATGAAGAACTGAAAAGAGACGACATTAAGGAACAATACAAGAGTGTTTACGAGACAGCTAAGAAGAATATTATAAAAAAATTAAATTTAAAAAAAATAAAAAATGAATTGAACGAATATTTAAACAAAAACGAAGAGGAGTATGAAATTAGTAAGGAAGTGCAACTGCTCATTAATGAAGAATGTGAAAATCTTCTAAAAGTGCAGAAGGAGAAAATGGAATATGCACAGAAATGTAAGCAAGCCAATTTGCAATATGCTAAAGAAAAGGAAGAAGAAAAAATAAAGGAGGAGCAGAAAAAAGAAGAGGAAAGAAAATTGTGGATTGAGGGGAGAGATGAAAGAGTAAATAACTGGAAGAATTACAAAAAGGATAATTTAAAAACGGAGAAAGAATTCCATATATATAAAAATGTGGGGAAAAAGAAGGAAGAGCGAACGGAAGAGGAAAAGGAAAAACTGAAGAGGATTCTCACCACGAATCGGGTAGAGAACGATGGGAACAAGAAGAGGAGAAAGACCTAATGTAGTGTCTGTTCCTCTCAGTAGGGTTTCCCCTCCAATCAACTTGTCGTTACGAACAAGTGTGTTCAACCGGTCTACATATATAGGTCATACTTGTGCGATTCGCGTTTGTTACAGTTGCATAGGGGTAGTCCCAATGTTGGCTAGTATGATACAAATGGAGAATTTTTTTTTTTTTTTTTTTTTTTGTAAATTAGGACATATTCGTTTTTATGACATTTCCCGGTGTGTACATCGCTTGGCGTATTTCTTCCCTCCTTGGAGTAGTAACTTAATCTATTTAGCCATTTCGCTCATGAGCTTTGGCGCAACTGGCGACATTGTCTGACTTGTATTATTCGCATGAACCGTTCCACTTAGGAAAAAAATGTGCAAGGCGCATTTTTAAGCTTCCTCAATGAGCACAGAGGTAGGAAGACGGCGATGACGGTGTACACATTTTTCATTGTATGCAATTTCAAATGGGAAGGAGAGTTTATCAAAATTTTTTTCACTTTTTTTTGTAACATAAAAAAATTGGGGACAAATATGACGAGGGGAATTTTATCCACACAGGGGGAGTAATAATTCCGAATTTAAAAAAGGAGAGAAAAAAAAATGCACAAATTTGGTTACACCTCGGCGGACTCATCGGTGTACGCCTTTTTATATAAATGGGTCAAATTGGTTAGTTCCACTTTGAGGAAGCTTTTTTGAGGAGGAGTTTTCCTTACCTTTTCATACTCCTCCGAGATGGTCGCGCTGAAATGGCGCTTCAATTGGTTATTGTTTAAAAATATAATTAATTTTAGGACACAGTTCAAAATGGTTACTTTCACAAAGACGTCCACTTCTTTGCTCAGTAAAGAAAGCAGTTCATCAATGATGGAAATTTTCTGTTTGGCTCCTTCGTTTTCTCGTGTGGGTTGAGAGCTCAGTTCGATTGGGTCATCCCCTTCATTAGTGCTTCCTTTTCCTTCGTCGGGGTTGCGCTGCTCATCATGGTCGGCGTCTCTTTGACTGTCACCTTTGCTGTTACCTCCGCTGCCACCTTCGCTGATTACTTCGCTGCTTATTTCGCCGCTCTCCTCGCTGCTTTCCTCGCCACTCATGTTATCGCTATCACTTTCGTAAACACTGTTAACATCCTTTGGTTGTCCCCGTTTGCGGGAGGTTTGGGCGAGGCGCTGGAGCTCCGCACCAAGGAGGGCGAACCCTTTCTTCCGCCTTTTTCTAAGACCACCTTCCGCTTCATTCACTTGATCGGGTTGCTCCAAATGGTGTCTCTTCTTGGCCATATCACCCGCTTCAACTTTTTTTGCATCGAATAGGAAGAAGAACAAAATGGATGAAAGGATGTCGCTATTTTTGTTGGTTTGCTCATAATTGTAAATGAAATTATTCTTACTTATATATGAGTGTCTATTTTCAAAGAGGCAAACATAGGCCACAAAGTTCAGCTTCTGCAAAAAATGGTACGTGCTGCTATCCTTCTCTTTCAGGTATTCTTCATTAACTTGTTTAAAGTTATACGAACCGCACAGAAAAATTTCGTCCTTTAAAAATTGGAAAATCTGTAATTCTTCATGGTTTGTCAAGCTTGGTTTGTTCATGTGGAAGAGGATATTTTTTTTTTTCTCCACATCGTCGTTGTTGCCTTGTTGTTCTGCTTGTTTGTCCAGTTTGGGTTGCGTATTGGCCTGGTTTCCCTCCGTTTTGGAATCCTGATGGAGGGAACTTTCAGGGTGTGTTAACAGTGGCAATTGTGCTCCAGCGCAGATGTCGATGGTGAAGACATCCTCTACGTTAGTGTACTCTACGAACACCTTGAATAGATTCCCAAGTAGGAGACAGAAGAAGTAAATCATAAGATCATTGTGGAAGGTGTCCATCAGTTCACGTAACAGATGGGTTACTTCTGCCACGTCGAAGTATTCTTCCAGCTGGAATTCTTCGCCGTGATTTTGGTAAAACGAATTTTTTAAAAGCAGGAAATCTTTGTCCTCGGAAAGGTCACAATGTGCTGATGCAACACATTTGGACACAAAGAGGTAGTAGAAAAAGCAGGGCTGATCCTTCTTGTGCCTATCGATGGAGTTAAAGATTAGGTCCTTAAAATTGTCGAATCGAAGAACATAATTCTTTATCCATTTTTTTTTTTCCATTTTTAAGTAAACATTTAAAAGTAGGAAAATCAAAATGTAAAGATGGCTCTTCTCATTTTGAAAAGTTTTCAAATATTTGTTCCCCAGGAAGATTATTACATCTAAGCCATATTTATCCTCATCCTTAACAGTTTTGTTATCCCCCTGATCAATATCACGTTTAAGTATGTCTTCATTGGTTTCGTTAGCTGAAGTATCATTGGTGTCTTGTTCCTTTGCACTACTTTTGCAAAAGTCAACGAATTGGTTAAAATGCTCATTAGAAGAATTGTCTACTTTCTGCTTAAAATTTGTTAGCAGTTTGTAGAATATGTCAAATTCTATGTTGAAGTATAAAACGTTGAGGGATAAACTCTTGGGGATGAATAAAATAGCCCTTATGTATAGCTTCCTCGTGTATTGAATATTTTTTCTTATGTTATAGAAATAGTGTAGGTAGAAGACCCATATGAGTTCATTTTTTATATGATACTTTAGGCTGTTCAATATGGCACTTTCCAAATTTTGCATTTTGTGCTTTACGTAGCAGAAGTTGAAATAGTGTAACCATATTTCTATGTTATTATGATGTTTCCTCAGGCACGTTTGGAAGATGTTAATTATTCTTTTTACAAGTGAATAATCTGATAAGCTATATCGTATCAGTATTTGTAATTTATTTTCCACTTTTAAAATGTTCCTCTTACAAGAGTTAATGCTGTGTTCATTTTTATTTAGTAACTTCCTCAATGACTTGCTCCTTCTGGGGCATTTTTCACTTTCTATTTTTGCCTTCAAATTTGTATATTCCTCGTATTGACTTTTTAGCAATCTGTTATATTCATTAATTTCATTCAGCATATCATTTTTTTTTTTCAATTTTCTTTTTTCTCTTATTTTTTCCAAGTTCATTTCGAATTCGATGTATAAAATGAAGTTGAGCAGTATGCACGATGAGCTGTTAATTGTGTACTCATGGTTCCTCCTTTTGTTTGCAATTGTTATGATTTCCTTGTCTGTGAATAACTCCTTTCTCTTCAGGTCATTAAACTCGTATACCATGTTTTCCACCATGCGGCACACTTTATCCGTCATTTTGTCCACGCTGCCAAATTGTGTACGTATGAGAGAAGTGTGGGGTGAGAGCAGCAGCAGAGCGTCATCCAGGGGTTGTTCCTTGTCGACTCGCTGCCTCGCTGATCAATTCAGCCACATGTTTCGACCGTGCCTGGGAGATGCCTCCCCCGTCCTACGTACAATTGCTAGGCAAAGAAGGAAAAAAAAAAGATAGGTATAGTTGTAGATCACATATATCTTCCTGATGCGTATACTCCCAGCAGCGTCGAAAGGGGCTCCCTTCCCACTTCTGCTGCAACTGCGTAGTTCTTATTTTTATTGAAAAGAAAGGGGAACTATTTCTTCTGGTCCATCTTTTGGTATAATTTGTGATTTTCCGCTTAGATTTTTTTTTTCTTTAACCACAACATTGTATATACTTCTGCGGTGGGTAACTGGGCCAAAAGTGCTGCAAAAATGACATATAAAACTACTTTCGGGGCCTTTTTTCCTTTTTTTTTTTTTATTCCTTTTGGAGAAACATCGATGTTTGCAAAATTTAAAATATATTTTTTCACAAAAATTGGGAGAGCAATTTTATTTCAATTTTGAGAAAAAAAAGAGGCGCGAAAAAGGGGCGATAAAGTAGCTACTTATATATGTAATACACTCTACGTGATATGTACCGAAGCAACGGCGTGGGGTAAAGGTATTTTTTAACAAGGACCGTATGGCAATCTCCGCATTTATGCGAACCGCTCTGCTTCTCAATTTTGAATCCTGCTCCTTCTCCCCCCCGCAGGTTGCAACGCCCGTTTTTGTCAGCGTCAATTTTGACGCATGAATTTTTACCTTTTCGAAAAAATTCCTACTTCGTGTTCGCTACTTTCCTGCTGGTCTGCTTTGGCCAAATTAATTATTTTGTTTTCCCAAATAAGAAGTGTAGTCACTGGAATGGTGGTGAAAAAAAGGAAAAGAAGTACTTTATTTATTTTTTTTTTTTTATCGAAAAATCTTATAGCCCAAGCAGAATTCAAAACGCGACAAGGAAGGCACACGCGCGTTGGGGCACACGTTGCTGACATGTTTGGATACCCTTTCGAATCTTGCCTGCATTGTATAGAAACTCCTTTTTAGCAAAGACACAGAGGCGCAATGGAAGATGGGGTCATCATAAGTGGGGATTACCTTCAGATGGAGAAAGACAAAGTTAAGAGAATAAATGAACACAACTTGGAACAAGTGCATGACGTGGAAAGTGACAACTTGTACCGAAGTAAATGTTCAGGCATTTTATTAAAGGCGCCATATTATCCCTATAAGTACGATATTATGAACACAAGTTATAAATACATGCCCAAGGTAGGCGACCTGGTTATAGGTATAGTGAAGTCGAAAAAATTGGATTACTATCAGATGGACATTAACTGTAATTGTGAATGCATCATACACAAAATTGAAAGTTTTAAATACGCTACTAAGAGTAGTTTCCCAAATTTGACCAATGGTACACTACTATATATGATTCTGGAGAAAATCAATTTGGATAATAACAGCGTCGTGGCTAGCTGTATCAATTCGTCTGATGTGAAGTCGTGGATCAATTATGAGAATTACTTGGGCGAACTGGTGGATGGGTATATGTTCCCCGTTAGCATTTCCTACGCCAGAAGTTTAATTGGCGACAAGTGTTACATTTTGGATTTGATTGGGACAGACGTCAGTTATGAAGTGGCGGTTGGTCACAACGGGCGGTGAGTAGAACAAGTTCCATATGCTGCATTGGGGGGGTATGCGGCTTTATGCGCTTCTATGCGGCTATGTTCTGTTCGGGGCGCCTGCGCTCATTTGGACGCACACCCCATAAAAATTGACGAATATGCATAACCCCCGCATCTCGTTAACACGTCCTCATTTTCGCATTTTCCTCTCAGGGTCTGGGTTAAAACGGACGACCCCCGCGAAACCAACATGATACACATCGCATTGAGATACTCATTTGGGAAGACCAAAGCACAGGTGGGTTATCCTTTCTCGGCGTGTTTCGGACACATCTGCTGTGCTTTATTTTTTCCAGAATGGAACATTAGCATTGTGCATTTTTTTTCAACCTTATAAAAAAATTTTTGAATTCTTTCATTTTTCAGATGGACGTGCTGTGGAAATCTATTTACAACTTAGGAAAAAGGGAGACTTAAAAAAAAGAAGAAAACGGCAGGCAAAGGCGTATGCGAAGGTGTACACAAAGTCGTACACAAAGGCACAGGGGGAATCACCCGCTGGGGGGTATATACCCCGTTGGCCGCCTTATCTCTTGGCGTAGGAGATTTTTAGCCGCGATCCCTGGAGCTCATAATTTTGCAAAGCTGCAAATGGGAAGAGAGGGGTGGAAGTGCAAAAATGAGATAATTGTTGAATGCGCGTGAGGTGGCGCTCAGCGCGGGGACACATAATTGACATTCGAAGCGGACTTGCAACATATGCCGGCAATTGCTTCCTTTCCAACTATATGTTATACGCATCCGAGTTGCTTCTTTCTTTTTTTTTACGTATTAATTGCGCTTTAAATGAATGTAACAGTTGAACATTGCTTCGTCTTTTTTTTTTTTTTGAATGTGCAAAAATGCTGCCACGCACGTAGATACGAGAACAGATGTTTAACAACATGGCTCGGGGAACCTCGCGGCGACCCAGAGCATCCGTCGTCCCTCGGGCCTACCTTTCATCGCAGACGTTGCTGCCGCCTCATCGGAGTAATCCACGAAGGCGACGTTCCTCTGGGGAATAATTCTGGCCTCGACAAAGCCGGAAAACTTTTTAAACAAATCATTGAACTCTTGGGTGTTTACATTCTCCACGACATTTTCAACAAACAGAATTTTGCACGCCACAACGATATTATTTTGCATGGGAGCAAATGCATTCATTGGGTAGTAAGGAGGAGGTGGCTGGTACATATTATTGTTATTTTTTGTAAAGTCTTCATTTTTTTGTTTGTTCTTTTCCTCGTAGGCCTTCGCCTGAGCCTTAGCAATTAGATCTTGTTTATCCATTTGACTTAAGTCAATTTTTTTTCTTTTTTCTAATTCGTTATTCTGCATAATTCGGAAATTATTCATTTGCATTTCTATATAATTTCTCTGCATCATTTCGAATATTTCTTTCTGCTTGCGTTCTCTCTCGAGGATCTGTTTTGGTTTCTTGGGTGCTTTGGATCTTTCGACAAAGGTACCATCTCTCTTTGAATGCACATCACTTTTGTTATGTGAATAATTTATCTGCATGATTTTTCCAAAAAGTACAAATCCTTGTAGGGCATTTAGCGCTTTCGTTGAGCTTTCGACGGTATCATACACAATCCATGCTTGTCCTTTTCTCCAAAATGACTTCATAACTACCAGGTCTTCGATTACACCATACTGCTTAAATAAATCTTTTAAACTTTTTTTCATTTCGTCTATTTTAATTCTGTCGTTTAAGTTTTTTAGGTACAAAGTTTCATTTGGAGGTATGCTCGGGTCGGCTGTAATGACTTTATTATATTTCAGGTGCTTCAAATAGGCTTTACTGTTCATGTAGTGCATAGGATTATTAAATAACATAGGGTTTGGTTGCCCTGGAAACATTGGCATGCGTAATGGATTCGTCATCATGTCATTACTGTTCTGAAACATGTTCATGGGTGGGTTCATATTCATTGGGAATTTCCCCTGCAAGTTTTTTCCACCATTCATCATCATTTTGTTGTTTTGCATATTGTTCTGCATATTGTTCTGCATGCTGTTCTGCATGTTGTATTGCATAATGGGGTTGTACATGGCGTTGTTCATTTGGTTGATCGCACCCCCAGTTGGGATGCCTGCACTGTTTGGGCTGTCATATTGGTTTCTCGCATCCGCTACGTCCTTACTGACATTTTCATTATTCGCGTCTGTTTCGATATTCGGTTCATTGCTCCCCTCGGCGTGCCCATTGGGGGAATTCAACTTGCTGGTGTCAGCGTTCGGGCCACCATCATAATTGGGGGGGTGCTCACCAAAGTTGCCACTTGACACGTTATCATTTGTGGCGCCATTTCTTTCATGTAGCTCGTCAGCTGCAGAAGAAACATCGTCGTGGTTGTATGTCGACTCATCCGGGTTGTCATTATTCGGTTCATAATCGCCCTGCTGGTTTGTCGCACTTCTATCTTTCATATTGGTCGAGGGGTCATTTCACACCGTTTTTTTTTTCTTTTTTTTTTCAGGTTTTTTCTTGTTTTTCCCTAAATGGTTTCTATGGGTCGTTTTAGGGCTACTTTCCTTTGGGGGTCTTTTTTCAGGGCTTCCTCTTTACAATAACGGTCATGTTACACTTTTCAGTGTTTTTATGAAGCTGCTTCTGGCCACAGGGCGATATTCATATGGGAAAACATGCGGGTAACCATTAGTACACACAGCCTTCGTGTAGCTTACATGCGATCGCCTACCCCCTTTTGTGGTCTCCAACTGCAGGCCGTGAGAAGTAGAGGGTCAAGTTAATGCATGATGAGAAATATGCCCCTAAGGTGTTGTACAAAGGTGGGCCGACTTATCAAGTAAATGGCTTTAAAATTGAAAAGGGCACGAATGGGGACTTTTGGGGTGGAAAAATTGAATTTAATTTTATCCCATAAACAAGAAAAAAAAAGAAGAAGAAAAAAAAGTCACTAGGAGATGTACAATGAATACGTGCGAGGCGTAGCACCATATTAATTTCGCCGAGTAATTAGGGGTTGGGCATATGACCGTGTATAAATCGCTGGTCAAAAAAGAAAAAATTCGTTCAGCAGAAGCAATTCGCCGCCATCCGTATCCACGTTAATGTAATGAGTATATATATGTCCCTTTCCGTATGTTATGTGCGTATGTACATTTTTAAATGTGAAAGTTTGCCAAAATATGGAATCTTCATTTGACCCTATTTTGTGAGTTATATTTACATTTTAATCAAATATTTCAGCAGCGCAATGATATGAAGGCAAAGGGGGTTTCATGTTCTTCCCTCGGAGTATGCGGAGTTATTACATACAAGGCGTTTGGGCAGTGTTCCTTTTCCCGCATCGTTAATTTCTACAATTTGTTCGTGATTTGGGGTGATTTCCCCTTGCTGAAGGGTTAGCGGAAGTTCGAGGCCGATGCTGCGGTGTAGCCCACCAGACGTACATACAATGTCTACTTAGTTGGCCATTATGCGTTTCTGCACCTATGTCTGTTTGGCGAAAGAGTAACCGCCTGATTGGGGACCCCGTTTTCGGAAATCTGCGCTGCACATGCACAGATGCACGCGAATCCCGATATGAGATCCACATTTTGACACTTCATACCAAGTAGAGGGGAGCGCAAGAAGTTCGAATTGGCAGGCGTGTGGGGAGAACACAAACGTAAGTGATCACGCGGGGGGTTATCAGAAAAACTCTGTTTGGTCGTCGGAGGGGGAGGCATTCCAATGTAATGAAGTCTGATGGGCATTTTGTAAATTGACAACTTTTTACGCAGCTAAGCGAATCGTCCACTTCAGCTCTTCACCACTTCACCGCCTCACCACACGACCCTTCGGACCCCCCCCCTCTGCGAGCACAATGTCGGGCGAACTAACAAACAGCGACTTCCGCCTCATCTTTGACAACTACGAAAAGGAAAAGAAGGAAAGGGAAAACAACTTGTTGCTGAAGGAGCAGAAGAAGTTGAAGAGAAAACAGAAATATTTAACCAAAAAAAAAAAAAGTGAAGAAAAGGAAGAACAAAAATATAGAGACAGAGCAGAAGAAAGGAGAAAAGGAATCGTAAAAGATGTTAAGGATGCAAGTGTGCTATATGACAATGCGAATAACACAATTGATGAGTCGAAATTCATGGGAGGAGATACGGAACATACCCATTTGGTTAAAGGGCTTGACTACTTACTTTTAAACAAAGTAAGAAACAAATTAATTGATAAGATAAGCTCAGAGAAGGAAAAATTAAAAGGAAATAAAACGAGTGATGGTCGGATATCCAACAAAATACCATCTTTTTCCAACGACGAATCGAGGCACATTTTTAAATATTTTTTTCTGTATGAACATCCACATCATATACATTTTAAAAAAAAAATACACAACATTTATGACAGCATAATAAATAACATGAAATTTAAAAATTACAACAAAAATATTTACTCCGTTAATTATAAGTACAACATCAATATGGAGGTGGAAAAAAATGACGTGCCTATCAGGTATATATACAAGGTAGAAGACGTTAAGGTCAATTATACGTACCATTTGAAAGCCTCCGTTTTGGACGAAATTGACGTATGCTTTAAATGGCACATGGAAAATAAGAAAAAAAAAAAAAGTGAAAGATTGCCAAAGAGACCACTAACAACTAGCTTTTTTCAGCAGGAACAGAATTATGCGATTGGCCAGGAGGACGACGACGACATTGACATTTTTAAGAACGATGGGGATGCGGTTAGCGATGACGCCAAAGGGACGAACAGCACAGCCACTGCGACGGGTGGTGCGAATGTTAGGGACAACCATCTGAGAAGCAGCGCAGACGAGGAGGAGAAGAAGAATAAGAAGAAGGACGGTGATGATGCTAATGATGATGATTCTGATGATTATGATAATGGTGATGATTATGATAATGGTGATGATTATGATAATGGTGATGGTACTGATAATGATGGTGCCAGCTCAGATGCCAGTGATGTGAAGACGAAGCAACGCAATGAGGAACAACACAGAAAAGACGAAAATAAAGAGACACAACTGGATAAGGGCGATAACATAAACTTGTTCTATTCTGGAAAATTGCCCGATAAAGGGAAGAGTAAAACCGAAAATGAGAGTAATAAGAAAAGCCTAACTGGAAACGTTTTTAAGGACACATATGATGAGTGCTATCCGGGTTATAGGAAGAGAGGCTTTTTTTAGTGTACCCGTGTGGTTTCCCCCACTCCTTATTCTTTCTTTCTTTTTTTTTTTTGTAATTTTTTTAACACATTTAAAGTTAGAAGAAAAGGAAAGGTGTCATAACTTTTTGTACTCAAAGAATAAAATTAGCGAGGAAAGAAGGTAAAGAACAAAAAAGGACATCTTGACCGAGTTAGACGCGCTTATAAACATAATTCCTTAAGGGGAAACGTTTGCATCCGCCTGGATGTGCATAAGCAGTGGTATAAAGAAGCCAGCCACGATGTAGTGTTACGTGGTAAATTTTTGTATTGGATGGGGCCACAATGGCGCAGAAATTGGAGTAAATTATGCGCCTTTCCCGCGGCATATGTTGTCACGAAGAGCATTGCAACGTCAGCTCTCTTCATCATAATGAACAGATTTATTCAATCAGGGGCGCCCAGATTTTTTCTCGTATGCGTTTGAGGAATGATGAAAAAGTGGACAGTCCCGTCCTAATGGGGATCCCATTTGAAGGATACAGCGTGGAAGAGTTTCCATAGCCCCACGAAGCCATGAATATATGCGCGCATAAATGCGAACAAGTACATTAAACGATGGCATAAAACACGGCATCTCGTCTACCTCCGTGTGTCCAACATTTGTTTGTGTGTTATTTTAAATTAAATGCTTTTTTTTTTTTTTTTTGTTTGAATAGGTACTTTTTTTACATTTTTTATATTTTATCTATCCCCATTCGAGAACCGCAAAAAAAAAAAAGGGTATATCGAACGCTCAGTGTGAAGTTTTGTGGATGTCTCATTTTTTCCTTTACGCCGCGAATACTGCACCGATTTGAGGTCGCTCTATATTCGTCTGACTGTTTACGTAAGTTCTTCTAATTCAACGAATACGTACAAAAGAAACAACAATTGACCGTTCGATTGGCGAAAAAAAAAAAAAAACGACGCGTAGTCGGGGAATCCGTTTGGGACCTTAACAAGGTAATAACAGCGCCCTGTTTTTCTTTATCAGAATGTAGGACGGCGATAAGAACCACGTTATTTGTTACGTATACAATTGTTGATCACAAAGGATGGGGAAAATAACCGTCCTAAACGTCGGAATGACTGAATAGAATAGGCAGTTAATCTGATCACCCTTTTGTACTGATCAAATCGGTGGTTATCTATTAAAAAAGGAAAGAAATATGAAAAAAATGAAAAGGAAAGAATGAAGAGACAGGAAGAAAAAGCTAAAATGTATTAATAAGCGCGTTACAAAATGAAGCATTCGAATGGTTCCATCAGTTGAAAGGAAAATAAAGTTCTTTATTTTTTCAACATGCCGCATAATAACCACATGGTGGCTTTTTTCATATTTTTTTTGCGAACACGTAATGCGTGGATCCATCATCCGTGACGTTCCGCGAAAAGGAGGTAGTTAGAAGAAAAATGCAGAACGCAAAATGCACGTTTAAAAAAAGAGGTACATAATAAATTTTTTTTTTTTAAATACGACAAATTGAATGCATTGAACGCGTTTATATATATATCACGACATTGTTTTTAATATTTCATTTTAAATTATTGTATTTATAAATTATGCAACTACGGCACTGTTTTGATTCTTCGAACATAAGCCACTCTCGTGTATGCTTTTACCCATATGCGTGAAAGAAATGGGGTTTGCATTTTGTACCATTTAACGAGGAAAAAAAAAAAAAAAAAAAAAAAATAACAATAAAATACGCAAAAAATAGGCAAGGGACGTGAAATATTCGAAGTATCAGAGAACAATTAAGGTAACTATATTTGCATGATCATCTTTTTTTTTAGATATCGACAAGTCCATACTTAAAAATAGAGCCTTTTCAACATTATACGCAGAAATAACGGCCGTTATATGTTTATTAAACACGTATAGGAAAAACACATAACAACCACTACGTACGTAATATATTACATTGCGAACAAAGCGCATACTTGTAGTTCTGCCCCCACCCCATGCGATTATATCACCATTAAAATAAATCCGTTTTCGTTTTACCTTGGCTATTTTTTTAATCCATGAATAATTCAGCACGATATCCTACTTTTAAGAAGTTCCCTTAGGTCTTTTCTCATTTTTTATAAATTAGTAACACTAAGTACATGCCAGCACTTTTGTGCCAAACGATGAATTAATTCACGTTTGTTGCTTTGCATGTGGATGGGCACATACGCCTTTTTGCCCACGCGTGCCCCCCACATATAGTGTACGCGCAGTCGCGAAGAACACCTATACACATATGCACTTGCATGACAATGTTTTGAATGAACAAATTAGAAAATGTTAGGAAAAAGGAAACTTGGTGGAGCCCAAAAAGAAAAAAAGAAAAAAAAATGGATCGAGGAATTATATGACGATTCAGAAGAAATTGATTTAGACTGCCTAAACAACTTGGAAGAGCAGGAATGGGATGATTTGGAAAAAGAGGACGAGGAGGTGAATCAAGAGGAGGAAAAAAATGATGCATCCAGCATGGCTGTAGGTGGTGACGAAACTGTCACCGAGAATGGAAATAATAGAAATAATAAAAAGAAAAAAAGATACGACTGGATGAGTAGCGACGATGAAGATATATCAAGCGACGAGGATGAGGAAGAAGAGGATGTGGAATTAGTTGAAAAGGGAAAAGAAAAGAAGGAACATGAGCAGGGAGGAGAAAGAACAAATAGCAGTGGTGGAACCCACTTGAAACCTGACAGCGCTCCTGAGCAAGGTACACGTTTTAGAAATAACAGTGCGATGAAAGCAGGGGGAGAAAACGGAAATGTAGGGTACCATCCGAATGGTATGAAATATGATGTGAATAATGGTCATGGGAAGCGCGGAAATATACGTAAGATTGACATGGATGAAAGGAGCAGCCATAGTGACGATGCCCCCGTCGAAATTATTGAAAATATAAATAAATATTCAATTAACCCGTTAAACGTCAAACTGGAAGAAATCGAGCACCTAGTAACGTACGTATATTTTAACAACATTCATTTTAGTTGTGTTACGGAGGATTTGGTGGAGTTTTTAGAAAAATTCACAAAAAACAAAATCGTCCAAATTAATTCAGACAAGTCAACAAATCATACGATTATATACAAGTATAATGAAAAAAATGATAACACAGTTTTGATCAATAAATTTCCGCATTATGGGAAGTTGTTTGTTCATGTCAGAAATTATCAAGTAATTATAACGAAAAGATTGTAGTTCTGATAAGCAAGTTTCGCAATTCTTCCATTCCGTCGAAATGAATGAAATACAAATTTTGATTTAAATTTAAAGCTATGCATATGTTGTGTATATATGTACATGCACGTCACACAGCACGTGCGTTTATACATTTTTCCCCTCTTATCAGCAAAATAAAATCCTCTTTTTTTTCTGTGCTTTAATTAAAAAGGATGTTCTGAGGCTGCTTAAACTGAATGAAACCCAATTCATGGGGAGAATCATAAAGTAGTTTGCCCTTCTATCTATTCCTGTTTTGTTTTTATTTTTCACTAGAATCTTGCATGTTGTGTTTGTTAATTTGTCAAACTTTGGATTGATTTTTACTGTTATGTTTCTTACTGCAAGTGCTAATATAAATAAATTTTTTTTTTCCTTTTTTTCTTTTTTTTTCGCCCAAGATCCACACAAGCGTATAGAAAGAAAGACAGTTTTTTTATTTTGCAAGCACCATCAGACTACAAGTAAGGAAAGACAAGTGCTTTTCTGCACAACCGTTGTTTTTTTTTTTCGCACATGTTTGTTGCATTAGTTGTTAGTATATATATGCTTATGTGTATGGATTTATTTTTATATGCCTGCCTTTTTTTTCCAAATTGTGTGTGCCCTCCCCTTGTTCACCCCGGCTGATACATATTCTCCCCAATTTTACACCCTCACGACAGGTATTTCGTCCAAGCTGTTGCCAACGAAAAAAACAAGAATAGTACGAACTGTGTGTGGATGAGATAGCAGAATAGTGTATACACATGTGTGTTAAATTTATGCACGCAGAAACGTATTATATACGTAATAAGCACATAAATACATGCCTGCATAAATTTAACACACATCTATGTACCTGTTATGGAGCGCGTCACTTGTGTGAGCAAACCGGGAAAAACACCCCTTTCCCCCAAAGGACGCTGCTTTGGAGATTATGTAATTTGTGTATCATATTATTTTGCACACAAATCAGTCATTGTGTGCTTATAAATGTATATCTCCCTTTTTTTTTTTTTTTTGTTACTTTTAAAGAAAAAAAGAAACGACAAGGACATTAAATTAACCCGCATTTAAAATTTGTTTCTGGTTATACATTTTCGCTTTTTTTTTTTTTGCATTTCCCATTCAAATTGTAGATTATGTTATAAGAACATTTTATTTTGTTTTAATTTCTTTTTTTTTTTTAACAAATAAAAAACAATTTTTTTAATTAAAAGGATAAAAGATTGATAAAAAAGGTTTTTCTCACGAATGTAATTTTTCTATTCCGTTGTGAATAAATTTTACTTTATTACTATGCTGCTTTCCTTTTTTCCTTGTTTGACGGTCTCTATGTTCGCCCGTTGAAGTTCCGGAGGGGATGTGTACACAGATTTTTGCCATAGGTGATCCACATAGTGACAGAAAAATGCGACAATTGTGCGTTTAAGCGGCTTTTCCTGGACAAACATTTCCCCTCAATATGTATACAATGTATATTATATGGATGTGCGTCCGGTCTATTCGATTCCCTGTTGGGTTTTACTTGGCTATACTCATTTTCATCTGACATTTTTTTTTGTTCCCTCCTTTGACATTCTCACGCGACTTTTGCTCAGATAAAATGAATGATATCGATTTATGTCCCCGAGTGGCAATTATGGACATAAATAAATCTGCATGCATTTGAGACAGAATTTGCATACGTTACAGCATTGCGATGACGTATCTCCCACGTAGGGTGGGGTGGTAAATAGTGGAGCGGTGAAATGGTAAATGGTAAAATGGCTGAAAACGATTTTACACTCGAGTGAATTTTTTTACGAGGAACTGTTCACTTTCACTCGAAAGCCATGAACTAACCCGTTTTTAAAAAATGTTAAGAGGCTTTGGGCATTTTTATTAGTACTTTTTGTGTTCTTATCCAACAGTACATATACACGTGTAAGCATAAAAAAGTTCATTGAGTAATGCGCACAGGCTATCTTGTGCCGGGTGTGATTTAGTTGGTACACACCTATATCTGATTGGCATTCCTGCGCAAATGTCCTATTGCTTGCCAGGTCGACTAATGCTTGTATGTTTAGCCTAGGCATGCCTGCTCGCGCGTTTGTGCCGTTCACCTGCCTAAACTGTTCACATGCCTAAACCGTTCACGCGGGGATACATCATTTTTCAGGTATACATTTGTCCCCATACGGACGTATGCATGCGCAGCCATGACATAAGTTACGCATCCGCGCGCATATGCATGCCGATGCGTTCGCGGCTAAGCACCATACGAGGATGACCGGCGACCCTGTACATACACTTTTTTATTTTATATTTTATTTTTCCCGACGAGGTAGATAGTGAACTCTGCTTTTATTTTTCGAATGCGAAACTGCGTAATTAAGGAAGATAATCAGAAGAGAGGCGTTTGCATATACATCGTGCATACATACTTACATTCCTAGCTACGTTTATGTATGCTTTCCTCGTTTATGCAAACAGAATATGAATGTTTGTGAAATTTTAGGGAATATAATTTTTCCCCTTGTTTAAAATTTCAAACATAGCACATGTGAAGTTTGATATTTTTACAAAGTTATAATTTGATCAGCCTCCTTTTCGTCTTTAAGATTTTGTTTTTTTGCTTTTTTTTTTTAGTGATATATTTTAAATATAGAAACCATGGCAAATGATAGTGGAATTAGTGTGATTTCCAAAATTGTGGAATCGGAGCAGAAGAGCCAGGTAAGGAGAGGCGTGGACGCAAAGGAGCATGGCGATGTTTGTATACCGCTGTCCGCCGCGTGTACGCAGGGACGAGCGTGCCTGTTGTTTTACCGACATGTGAGCCTAAACCGATGTGTAGCAGCTTGCGCAGAAGCTGACCTACGGCGGCTATGAAGTCCGCACGAGAGTTTCTGATGCAACGCGGATAGGAACAAAAGGATGGACATAGCGAGGAATCCCGACCGAACACTTTGCAAGGGGACATATGCGTCCATCCATGCAACGCGCGTGAGCCTACTTCGTCACTGCTGCACCACCACCCCCGCTACCTGTGCAGATACTACACGATTCCATCCTAAATAAGATGCCATGTTACGACAAATATGAAGAGATAAACATTTTGTCCTCAGAGGATGTAGAGTTGTTAAAAAAATTTCACGCATTTAACAAAAAAGAAAAGTTCGATTATTTTAAGGAAAATAACACAGTTGTGACAGTATTGTTTAATTGCTTGCAAACAGATTTTAATGTTCATTTAATTCAGTACGTATTAACCATATTTTATGAAATTATAAGAAATGATGGAAGTTCTTATAGCTACATTTTAAGCATATTAAATGACAAAAGTGTCTACTCGTACTTCATGAAATTGTGTACGCATAATGACACGTACATAGCAGACAAGAGTTCTTTCCTTTTGTCGGGTAGCTTTTGCTACAACAGTAATAATAATTACTTCACAGAGACGGAGATTAAAGACTTTATTTTAAAAATTGATTTTCTTAACGTATCAGAGGAAGGGAAAATGGACATATATATAAACATATTGAAAATAGATGACTATAGGCAGGATATATACGAGCTGGAGCAATTTCTGACAATAATTAATAAAAATTTAGACTTAAGTAATAATAATGCCAATAAGCAATACAAATCTGTTTTCTGCGTTTGGCTACTTACATTTAAGGATAACTTTATTAAAAAATTATATAAAAATAACATAATTTCTGTTGTAATTAATTTATTTAAAAAATGCCGAGTGGAAAAGATATTGCGAGTTTCACTCAACATTATTAAAAATATAATGCACATGGACGATTGCTTCGAAATTATTGTCGACAATAATATAATTCAGACCTTGACTGTGCTACAGTATGATAAGTGGAGAGATAACGACATTTATGACACTATAGTTCAGCTTCTGCACAAGTTGGACCAGCGCGTGAAGAATTACAGGTGGGTTGTCCCCTCAGTTTGTGCTCCCCACGTATGCGCTTTTGTGTCTGCGGAATGCGCATCAGCATAGGGGCGTGAACATTTGTGACCAAACGGGTAGACCTATGGCCCGCGTTATGCGAATTTTATACCCAGTCGAGTGGCCTTCGGTGACGTGCAACGCGAGCCACAGTCTAGACACAAAAATAACAAAGTCGCTGTTGTAAATATGAACCCGCTTCTATGTCCCTCATCCCTGTCGCCTCCCCCTTTTTGCAGCAACTTCGAGAGATACTGCCACGAACTTTCAAAGGGAAAGCTAAAATGGTCCGTTTTGCACACCGAAAAATTTTGGCTCGAAAATGTCATGCAGTTCGAAAGAGATGAATTTAAAGCTATACAACAATTAGCAGACATAATAAAAAGCTACGCACATAATTTAGCACAGAAGAGTGACTCCATGGAACTGAAGGAGGAAGTAGACGGAGTGACTGTGGCAGTAGCCTGTTTTGACATTGGCGAATTCGCGAGGCTCTACCCGAATGGGAAGAAAATTTGTCAAAAATTTAGAATAAAGGAAAACGTCATGATTTTAATTGCAACGAAGGACAGAGATATTGTGAGGGAAGCTCTTCTTTGTGCACAGAAAATTATGTTGAACAACTGGCAAAGCATATCGAATACCAAGTGAAGGAAAGGTGTAGAATTGGGGGCGGAGCAACGTACAAATTGGTGCCCTCAATGGAATGTACAATTGTGTGCGAAGGGGTGCGAACATGCGCAGGAGTGTAAACCTGTTCATACGCGCGGGTGCTTACAGCGGCTTGAAGTGTAGACCTGTGCATACGCCCGGATGTTTTCGTACACAGATGCATTTCCGTAGAAGGAAAAATTAGCAAATTTCTCTGCCCCAGAGGTACATAGCTAGCTAGCCAACCAGCCTTAAGAAGTTACCCCTTTTTTTTTTTTTAACCCACTTTTTTCCCCTTTTTTTTTATGTATTTTTTTAAAAATAGCATGTCATATGCCGATTTTTTTTCCCGCAATGTAAAATGCCAATTGGCGCGTCTGTAAAAGAATTAAATGAAGGACGCGAAGTTAGGGATTCACGTCAAATGTTCCCACATCACTTGTTCCATTTTTACGTGGCCTTCCTTTGCGAATCATTCTTTTTATTTTTTTATATTCCCCACTTTTCGGATATTTTGCACTTTTTCCATTTTTTCGATTTTTCCCATTTTTCCTATTTTTTCCATTTTTCCCTTAACCCACATTTGCTTCAGCCCATTTTGAATTCCCCACCTTGGTAACCATTGTTGCCATTTTTTTAAAACGGGTCATTTTAAATTTGAAAAAATTAACGAAATGGACGCGTAACGAGTTGTGTACCCAAATTGGCACTCACCTACGCACGAACGGGTTTTCTTAAGAGAAACCAAAACGACGTCTCTTTTTTTTTTTTTTTTATGTGATGTATTAATGTCCAACTGGAGTATGACAATGACAAAAAAAAAAAGAGACACATGCTTATGTGGCACTTATGATGTCCATTAAAAAAAAAAATGCGAATATTTGCCTTTTGAGCAATTTTTCTGGAGTTGCCAATGTGCAGATGAGGACGGAGCTGATGAAGAACAAACTGCTTGCCGCGATGGGGCTGGATATGACAAAGACGTGCTTATAACATTGAAGGGACAAAATAAAGCAAAAAAAAAAAAAAAAAGGGGGAAGAAGTGGCTCGGTTGCATAGCGGACATGAAGATATCATACCGTGTGGCCATTCTCTCTGGGGGTCACTTCTTCAAGAAATAATTCAAATCGAATCGAAAGGGGCGATACAAGTAATGGACAAAGCTCGTGGATTTATCGAAAACCTCGTCCATAATAGCTGACAGCGTGTCGGCAAGAGGAATGGTAATATAATAGTCGATCTCCTGATTTATGTACAGTTTGTCAGTTTTTAAGACATCATATTTGATTTTTCCCTTAGTAAAGCATTTGTCGTAAGCTGATTTTTTGTGTTTAATTTGTTCTTTTTGAAAAGAGTGTACTTTCAGTTTGTCATATTCACTGTAGTATTTCCCCATGGTCTTGATTTTGTCTTTCTTAAAATAGGACAGAACGTATCTGTTTTTATTTTTATAAGATTTTTTATTCTTGTATATGTAGATTCCGAAGCCATCTTTTTTGGAATCCTTTATGTCCCCTTTATAAATGCCATTCCTCAAATTACATGAGCCGAAATGAGAAAACTTATTTTCATCCCAATAGCCAACATAAATAACATGGTTCGAATCGAGAGGAAAATTTAAGGGGATATCTGAATTGATATCAATACCATCGTATGACTCCAATTTTCTTTCTAAAATTTTGGCATTAGATAAACTTAAATTGAATTCATTTTCGTCATCGAAGTGTAATTTTTCTTCGTAATATAATTTCCCAAACCCTTTTTTATTCCCTTGATAGAGGTTCCCACAATATATAGTGTTATCCTTATGTCGTAGGATGTAGCAGAATTTATCGATCACGTCATTTTTGTAATACCCATGATATAAAATTTTGTTGTTGCTGTCTATGAGGATGCCTATCCCATTTCGCTCATAATTTTCTGAAAAGTGGCCATAAAAAATGTAGCCATTTCGGAAAAATATTTTTATTTTCTTACTATTTGTGCTTACACTTGATATGTACATTTTGCATATCTTTTCATCCCTTATGAATATGTTAACGTTACTATGCAGCTTATCTTTTGTAAAGTTTGCCTGAACTATATATTTTTTGTTTCTCAAATGGAGACTTCCATTTCCTTCTCTGTGTCCATTTTTCCAAAATCCCAAGTAGGTATTTTTCCTATCGTTTTTATTTTTGAATATACCATATCCATGCGGCAGAAAATTTTTCATTTCTCCTTCGTAAAAGAAATCGTTGTTGTTAAAAATGGCCTGGGGAAATTGCTCGTTGGTGTTTGGCTGCCCCCTGTTATTGATCGGCCCGATGTACTCACTCTTGTCCGCGTAGATGATTTTCGCCAATCCAACCGTTTTGCTCAGTAGGGGATAGTACAGCTTCTGCTCGTTTGTTTTTTTCATGTACTCGAAAAATTCCTCGTGCAGGACGTTCGTCTTGTCTCGCTTGTACACAATGTGTTCCTCCGAGTGACGGTTTGGAACTGGTTGCTTGGGGGAGTTACCTCTTGGTTCGGCCTCTCTGCACGGCTGCTTGGGATAATCCTGCCCTGGAGTCCCCTCACTGTCTGCCTGCTCCTCGTCGTCTCCTAGCGGCTCCTTCGAATCGAGATCGTTCTTCCCTTTGCGAAGCTCGAAGGAAGGATATCCCATTAAATTCTTAAAATTGTTTTCATTGGACTCGAAGATTTCCTTCTTGGCTTTGATATTTTCTATGTTGCATGAGCAGTAGAAGGAGTAGATATTCCATTTCTTCAAGTAGGGGAAGTAAATATCTGTAATTTCTTTTGGCCAGAAATCTACATTATTATTAGGGCTGTAATTTTGCATGACTGTTTTTTCTATCTGTCTGATGAGTTCTTTTTCAATTTGTGGGTTTTGTTCCATATCCCCGTTAATAGTTTTATGCCATTTATATTTTCCGAAATTTACTTTAATGAGCAGGGGACACAGTTTATTAATTTTATCGGATTGTATCCTCTTTACATATTCCTTATCGATCAGGGAGATTATTCCTTTGTCTACAATTTCGTCATTTGAGAATTGTCCTTCATACAAATACCAAATGTTAAAATGCTTGAATAGTAATTTCCCCTTTCCGTGTTTTTGTGAATTGAGCCATTGTCCATCATAAATTAAGCTGTTAAATTTGTCATACAATTTTCCATGTCCATTGTAAAATTTATTTTTCATATCTCCTACGTATTTACAAAATAGCTCCTGATTTTTGTCGTAAAATATTAATTCTTTGTGTGTACTTTTTGCTGAATCTTCCATAAATTCTTTTTTTTTAAATGTCGTGCTTCTCATTCTTTCTATGCCTTTTAGGAGGTAAGAAATGTTCCTTTGCTCTTCTTTCCTTCCGTCATATTCCTTTTCCCCTTCTTCGCTGACTTGATCATACCTCCACGTCTCATTTATTGAGTTTCTCTTTTCGATTATGTCTAAACGTACGTCGTGGTATGGGTTTGCGCGGTTCTCACGCGAATTGCTTGCCTCCACTCCGATCGATTCGGTATAATTTGTTATCAGCTCTGATAATTTATTTTTGTAGAAGCTGAATGTAAATAGATTTAGTTCGTGCCATTCCTCGTGGGGAAACTCTTTTTCGCTTACGTGTGTGATGCTCAAGAGGGTCTCTCCGTTTAGCGTCCCATCTTGGGAGTGAACTCCTTCACGCTGGGCAAATTCTTCCACTTTGATGCCTTGACTTGGGGACTTGGAGTAGCCGCGTTGATCCTCTGTGGTGCGGGTGAGCATTTCGTCAGCTCCAGCTACATTGGGATCTATTTCCGGTGGGTCCCCTCCCCCGGGCGGAAACACTTGCGCGACCTCCAGACAAACCTCTTCAATCCTTTCGCGAATTAGAAGCTTATTCCTTTCCGTTAGCTTCCCCCACGCATGGTCATTTATGGTTAGGGAGCTCGTTAACTGCGGGATGGCAGCCGGGTTAAGTTTTACTATCAGTTTGATGTAATCCGAATTGCCATTGTACAGTCTGTTCTTCTTCTCCCCCTCGTAACATGCAAAGAAGAGGCAAAGGTTTCTCCCCAAACTGTCCTTTAAGTTACTGAAGCAGTTCGAGAACAGACGCACACATTTTACAAAGCAGTTTTTTTCATCTGTTAGGTAGTTCCCCCTCATTTGAATGCTCTCATTTTTGTGTTCTAATGGTGTGTACTTTGGCATAATTTTTTTCTTCTTCTTGATAAGCGATGAAATTGACGTGTCGTCATTTTCGTCGCTACTAATGACTGTGTATACAACTTCTTTTTGCTCGTTATCTGATGTGCCGCAGTTTGAGTATCCCCCTTCAGATAGATGTGATGTTGGCGCAACGGTTTTGCCATTGATCCTTCCTGTGCATCTTCCCCGTCTCTTCCTCTCTCCCGTCGCATACCTTGCTTCTCTTTCTCCCTCTCTATCTGTCATTTCCCGTGTCTCCAGGGAGTAATTCCCCCGCTCTACCCTCCAGCATAGCTTATTATCATAGTTATCAAAAAGGTATATAAGCAGATTGTCATTCACAATTTCTAGATAACATGGAAGTAGTAGTTGCTTTTTTGATTTTTCTTTTTCGCGACATATGTTTGTTTCTTCGGGGAGTGCATTTTTTTTCCCGCGCGGGGCATTGCACCGTATACTTTTTTCGCGGCGTGTCTTTTTTCGTTCGCAGTCTTGGCTTTCCATCCCCGTTAATTCGTCTTCCTCCAGTGAGTTTAATCCCCCCAATGTGCTTGTCACTTCTGATGGGTTCTCTCCTTCTGGTGATCTACCCCCATATGATGATTCGTCCCACTTGGGCGAGTCTGCTTGCTCCCGGTGAACCTTTCCACCGTCCTCCCCTAACAAGCTGCCAATATCATCCTGATTGCAGAGAACAAAAATTGGTTTATATGGTGAATATTTCATGTAGAAAAAGGTGTGTGGAAATAACAGGGCCTTTTGTGGGTTAAGAAATGGAAAGGAAATAACAACATGCACAAAATTAAAATTGGCGAAATGAAGCTTAGCATTCTTATGCTTGCCAAACATGGAATGTTTTATGCTATTTACGATGTGTCTGTTTAATATTCGCAAGTTATATTGGCATATATGAGTCTTCGTTAAAGAATGATTTAAAAAATTGGAAAAAAAATTCGCAAGACAAGCATTCCATTCGTATATTTGTTGTTCTACATTTTTTTTCATTTTTATTATTTCTTTTTTGTGAATAAAAAATGGGAAATAAAAAAGGATTTCCTTTGTCCCATGTTCCTCCTGCCTATATTTTTTTGCAATTTCGCGTATGCTCCTTTTTATTTCGTAAAATTTGCAGGCAAAGGATTTTCTCCGTTTTATGTACCTTTCTAGTACGACTTCGTGGAGTGTCTTTTCGTGATTCCTTTGATTTGGTGGGTCCCCGAGAGTGTCCCCTTTTCCCTGCTTCGGTTTATCGTTTGTCGCTGGGCTGCGGCTTCCGCTGCAGTTTCGGCTGCAGTTTCGGTCGCTACTACTATCGTGGCTGCTGCTTGCGCCTCTACTGCTCGCGGGGCAGCCGTGTCGAGCCCGCGTCTTTCCCCTCCCGCACCTAGAGAAGCTAAATCTGTGGTAAAACATCCGATCGATGTTTCTCTGAAGCTCGCAAACGCTCTGGTCGACGCTCATCTTGTCCAACAACTGGAGATACTTCAGTTTGTCCTTATAGAATGTAATAATGTACATTATTTTATACGCTGCGAGTTCTTCCAAGTAGTTCACAATTTTTCGAACTGTATGTTTCTTATTTAATGAGCACTTCTCATACACATCGTAAATATTAAAGCTGATGTTGTTTCCGTAATGATGAGAGTTCTCCCCTTCTCTTTTGTCTACAATGTTGTACCTTTGAAACACGTCTAGTACGTAAGGAAAGCTTAATAAGTCCAGTAGAATATTCGCTAGCACCTTTATGTTGCCTTTATTATGCTTCACATAATTGTACTTACTTTCGTAAATTTTAATGTGTGTAACATATGTCTTTATGAGATCTTTATAGTTTGCGGCATATCTGTAAAGAATTTCTCCTTCCCTTTTTTTGCTTCGGATGAGGTGTTTTCTGCACATGTGTAGGAGGTTTTCCTTCCAGCTGTGGTTTCGGTTTTGGTGTGCGTGGCCAGCTTGTGTATGAATTGTTCCCTCGTGATTTTTAGGCTGCCCATTCTGGGGTGTCCCACTTGCGAGATGGTTTGATGGACTTCTCATGCCACCTCTAGTGGTACTACCCCCTGTGGCGCTGAAAAGGGGGGATTTCCTCCAAAAGGAAAGGCAGTTTTTATTTTTCTCGAAGCATTTCTCAGTTGAACTTCCCCAATATGTTTTTTTCTTCCCCGTTGTGGCCCCCCCCTCAGATGTGGTCAACAGTTCGTAAGGGACATCAGGCACATGGGCAACATCGGCTACATCTCCATTTTTGTCATCCCCTTTGCACAAAATTGGAGACTCATTTAAGCACTCGATAAAGTAATTCTGCAAATTTTTGGCAGCAGAAACATCGAGGCTTGTCTTCAGCTTATATAACAGCTGAATGGGGACAAAATCTGCATGATTTATTTCCTCGAGGAAGTCATTTATGGGTTCTTGTTCTTGGAGGTCATAATACTCCCTAGAGAAAAATTGTTTCATAAATGCTAAGTCCAGCGCATTTTTACATTTTCTTCTGACATAACTCTGCGCGTAGAAAGTGTTACTCTTTTTATTCACTTTAACAAAAAAAAATTTTTTTTTTTCTTTACGCTCACTTATTTTGTACATATCGATGTGATCGTCGAGGAGTATTCTACTTCGGTAGGCACATTTTTCGTCTTCTCCATCCGTTATGTCTGTGTCTATTTGGTGATTTCCGGTTTGGGAAGAATTCCTTTTGTTATTTTGCCTAAACGAGTTTAAAATGATTTCCCCATTGGGGGAACTCTGCACGTGAATTCCTTCGGTTAAATAATCGGAAAGGCACTTTTGACCACCTCTGAGAAAAACATAATATGTTTCATTTTTATAAAAACAGGGGTGACTCAAAATAATAATTTTTTTTTTTTTTATGAAAGTAATGCAATTCCGAATCGAATTTAGACAAAATGACTCTCCATATTCATTCTCCACTTTTATGTCCTCAAATGTGTCTACATAATTCATGTCGTGCGAGACGATTAGCGTTCCTATGTCCTCGCACGTGACGTGAAATTGTCGGAAGCTTTGGTCGTCCTTATATTTTCTTCCCCTGTTTCTCGGGCGTATGTATGAAGCTCTGCTAAGGTCTGCCGTGCTGTTCCCCTTTCTGTAGGTATCTTCACCACTTGGTTGGGAATCACTAGAAGAATAGACATCCCCTTCGTTTGCCAATTCCTCCCACTTCGCGCATCTAATATGGGAATTCCAATTTTTGTGACATTTAGGAAATGTTTCCCTATCAAAGCGATCTCGTGGGTAGAAATTGGCGAACTGTGCAAAATTATCGAGGCTCAAATTTGGAGACTTTGATTTTTTCCCATGTCCTGAGTGCTCACATTTCAGGTACTTTTCCTTAAACACGGGTTGTATTTTGTACGTCCTGTTTGGCTTAATGAAGAGGCTTCTGATGGTTAGTCCATCTTTTCCGAGCACTGTGTAGGAGTACTGGTCGGCCTTAATGCGTTCGCCTGTTTGGCGCGCAAAGTTGAATTTCTCGCTGCTAGCCGTGTTAGCCCAGTTAGCCCTCCTAGCCGAGTTATCCGTCTTAGCGCAGTCAGCCGTGTTGGCGAAGTCAGCCGTCTTAGCGGTGTCAGCCGTGTTATCGGTGTGAGAGTCCGTCGCCTTATTGGTAGCAATGTCCATATTCCCCCCATTGGAAGGCTTCCCCCCGCTTGGCAATTTGCCATATGTTGGAATGGAGTCCAAGGGGGGATTCCTCTCCCGCATAATTTTGCTACTCCAGAGAAGGTCGCCCTTTCTGCTGCAGTGTAGGAGGATTTTCTTCCTCTTGGTATCTTTCCTTTTTATGTACAACGATAGGGATTTTCTGGAATAACGATTTTGCTGATCCACGACTTCGATGGAGCATATGTAGTAGTTTCGATTTTTCCTCCCATCATTATGTCTGTAGAGGGGCACATTGGATAGTCCCTCCTTGTGGAATTTAGTGAGGTCCATTTTGCCAATGACGTACAAATTTTTTCGCAACTCAGAATTAAAAACGCTTTTGCAATTATCGTATAACGTTAAGGTTTCATGTTTATAACCAATGTCTTTTTCTTGATGATGAATTTGTATTTTGTCTACTCTGAGATTTTTAAAAGTCACTCCATTGCAGTTAGGAAGAATTTTGTGACGAAAATATGAGCAGATATTTGCGTAGATTGTCTTCCTTATGGTATTCCTTCCGGTTGGTGAGCCACAATATTTATTCTTACAATAAATGGTAACTATCCATCTTATGAAGTAATCACACGATTGTTCTACAGCATAGAGGAAGTACATTGCATATATTTTAAGATAAGCAGAATGGCATTTCGACGCTACACAATATTTAGCATGTGCTATTATTTTTTGGAAGGCATTTTTTACTTTCCGGGGGTTTACACAAAGAAAAGTGGTTAACAGGGACAAGAGAAGGCTGAACAATTCGGAGTGCTCCCCCTCTCGAGGGAACATATTGGAAAGGAGAAGGAAAAAAAGAATCGCACTTAGCACTAATTCAGGGTATATCGTTTGGTAAGTTAGCATATCTTTCTTCATCCATTCATTGTATCTGTCCTGTTGGGTGCATTTAAAACGTGACAGATCACGTTTGGCATTATCAACATCGTTCTGATGATCGTTCTGATGATCGTTCTGATCATCCTTCTCATCATCCTTCTCATCATCCTTCTCACCATCCTTCTCACCATCCTTCTCATCATCGTTGTCGATTCGTAGGTGAAGCTTCCCACTAGACAATTTTCCACCGTGGGTGAAAGATTCTGTGGCTTTCCTTTTGTCTTCACATGTCTCCCCCTTATCGTACTCCCCAAGTGGTTCCCACGAGTCCGCTCCGGCCCATCGCTTCAAAATTGAAGAAAAATTGTATACAAATAGGGCGAAGAAAAAGAGAGATAATGAGAAGAAGGCGAAGCGGACATCTTTCCGAATTAAAAGATTCACAGTTGCTACGCAGATGGCCGTTATTAATCGTACGCAGAGGAAATGAGAAGCGTTTTCGTTGGACCAATTATTTGTAACAAGTGAGTAAATCCTCAGAGCGTCATCACAAACTTGCTCGTTATTTACAAAAAGTTGTATTTCTCTTTTCTGAGAGAGTAGAAAGTATATATCTTTAAGTTTCACAGCCTTTTTGACAAAGAAGGTTTTCTTAAAAAGGGACACTTTGTCGTAGAGGTACCCAATGTGTGTGTCCTCCTGGTGGGTTAGCAAATGCAAATTGGAGTCCCTCTCACTGGCCTCGTTGCTGCTGTTGTTGCTGTTGATGCTACTGTTTAGGGATGCCCGGCTGATCGTCACGCGGAGAAGCTTGTTGCTCCATACGTCCTGCTTCACCGCCTCAGCATAGGATATTTTATATTTGCATCGATTGGAGAGTGCATTAAAATGGTGCAATCTTCTTATGCACTCCGTTAAGCCCACGGTTGGGAAATTCTCTGTTAAAGTCACCTGGCTGCATCTTTTATCTTCCCCCTTATGATGAATCTTAATCTGTGTAGATGCTCCGATTTGATGGTACACACCATGTTCGTGATTTTTCACCCGAAGAAATTTACAAATGTATTTATTAATATCCATACTAAGGGGTTCATTTTCTCTCAATGCTGAAAACTGCGCTTGGTATTTTTCGCTAGCTGGGTAAGAACTGTCGCTGTCAAATGGGGGGGCTCCCAATTGATGCTCTGTAATGTGCCGATCGAGTATGCAAAACGCATTCTTAAGAACTTTAGCTAGGTTTCTTTTCTGAATGGGGTTATTCCTGGTGTCCCTCGCAGGGGAGCTATCACCACGATCACCATCGTTATTATCATCACAGGTATCACCTTTTTGATCGTCACTCGGTATGGTGATACCACCTGGCGATTTTCCTTTCTCGGGAAAATGCCTTTTACTAGAAATGTCTTCGGTTGACCCTTTTTTTGGGGTATCCCTTCCGGTGGGCACTGATAATGCTATGTCTTGTAGCAAAGGTTGGTGATGCAACAAACCGATTCGTTTATCTTTCCCCCTCCGTCTTTCTACGTAATTGCGAATAATTCGTTTCAAAGAGGCATTCCTCGTGAGGTAACTTTTGGCTTCGCTAGGCTCACGGGGGGATAGAGAAAAGAAAAATGGGTGTACTTCTTCTTTGTGCATTTGCCTTGTCCCAGTCACGTGCTGGTTTGTGAGAGCATAAGTGGGGTGTGATTTCCCCCGTACTGCACTGCTAAGAAGTGTAAGGCGTGATGGTAGATATATCCCAGTGGGACCATTAAAAAGAAATTGAAAGGGGAGTGGCTTTGTTACAATACCACGAATTCTACTAATAGAGAGCGGAATGAATCTTTGCAAATAACAACTATACGCGCTGCTCCTCTTCACAGATAGGACAACATGCAAAGAAAAGATGACATAAGACAGGACATAACAAAAGAGAAACACTATGCTCACAAATTTAAGCACACAAATGTCTATATTGAGAAAATAAACCCTCACGTAATAGGCACTGTCATGAAGTACTATATTAGATGTGATAAAAATGACAGGGAATAAAAATAGGTCATATATGAGGGGGGCAAAATTACGAAGAGGGAGAAATGGAATAGGAGTCATTTCTGCTATGATTTTCCTTGGTATATATTTGGCATATACGAAATGGAGGAATGTCAACAAAAGAAGAATGATGATGATGTTCAGAAGGGTGCTAACTAAAGTATGCAGAAGAATAATTTCATCTTCCCCTTTTTGATTGCGCTGGTTAGTCATTGACTCCTTTTTAAGGTATTTTTTTTTTATTGCAACTGCATCTTTTTTGCTTTTACTGTGCAGGGGAAGTTCCTCCGAGGGTGCCTCATTCATTAGGGTTTCTTTTTCCTTGCCGTAATGGTTATCCTTTTGGAGGTTCTCACCTTTGATGCTGCTCTCCGTGATCTTCTTTGCGTCCCCGTGGAGGTGCCCCCTATCAGTATCTCTTTCGTGATATAATTTTCCCCCATAGTAATGCCTTTTTTGAGACAGCACAAAATGGTTTTCCTTTGTGTTGTGGCCACCCCCCGAGTTATGATCTCCATTTGTGGTATTCGGACCTGTAGCTGAGTTCCACCTCAGCAGTTGCGCATTAGATGCAAAATGATTGGCCAGACTCTTCCTGTACACCTTAACATCGAAGAAGTGCGAAATGAAAGAAAGTAGATGCAATTTTTTTAGGAAGTAATTATACAGGGGGGGAAAGGCGTCATACTTTATATTCAAAAGTGTCAATAGTTGCACAAATTGAATGGATGTTAAAACTGTTGCTGTCTGCAGACAGAAACAGAGAATAATATACGCATAGGAAAAGTAACAAAGAAATTGTAAGGCAAATTTATAAAATACATTTTTCCTTATAATAATCAAATCGGTATTGTAAACAATGTTATCATTTTGGTCGACTATTTTTATGTTAATTCTTTCCTCCCTGTTGCCTATTTCGTTTATTGGGTACTTTATATGGTCGGATATATTTTCATTGTTTATGAGTAATTTGAGGTTGTCCCTTTGGTCAAAGTGGTGACTCCAGTTTGCATTCCTCTGGGTTAGTAGCAGGTTTGTGCTTAAGTAACTCAAATGTTTATTTTTTTTTTTTTTAAATACAACTTGGATGTAGGATGGTTGTCTATCGTTTTCCAGGTGGCAAATATTGTTTGGGGCACATTTTGCATTTTTTAAGAAGGCTATAAATTCGAAACTGTTGGCTATAATATTGGTTGGAATTCTGTGTATGTAAAAAAAGTAGTATAGCACCTCCGCTTTATCGCGTATCGTGTTAGCTCCAACATTGGCGTGTTTCTTCTGCGGTTCGCTCGTATACTTGAGTATGAAGACACTTTTCGTGGGGAATATAACTTTGTTTATTTCTTGATGGTTGCGAAATTTTATTTTCCTCTTTGATGAGAAGATATTTTTCCAGGAAGAGTTTTCCAGGTGTATCCTTTCGCCAAACAGGTCAGTTTTGCATTTCTTTGGGCAGTTTGATGCGTCCTCGTCGTGCAGATTTCCGAAGATCAAATAATCTTGTCTCTTTTTCACGTCGGAGCAGTTTTCATCCTGCTGAATAGGACTCCTTTTCTGCAGCAGTTGCCACTCCTCTATGCAGTCGTCATAGAACAGTTCGTCCATGTGCTCATTTAACGTTACCAGATTGTACTCAGTGATCACTCTTTTGTCATTTAGGTAGATATTACTGGGGGGGTGACACACATCTGCAGAGTTAATGCGAAGCCAGAAGTTGTTACCAGGGGTGAACACATCATACTTGAATTCGTCCATGCGAAATGGAGGCATAATAAACGTGGGATTCGCAACGCTTAGATCGAAGAAGGTACTGAAGTCGCTTCTGCCACCGCCGCTAACCTGGTGAACTTCGCTACCTTCACTACCTCCGCTGCACGTAATGCCCAGTCTGTACATGAAGAAGTTCGCCTTGTTCGTGTTGCTAGTGGCTGCAAATAGTTGGAAGGTATCCGCACATCTAAATTTATAGAAGTAGGTTTCGTATCGATAGTTTTCCTCCTTCAACAGATTCCGCACATTTCTATGAAGGTAGACAAAGTTGGAGGTGTGGGATGAAGCGTACAGATACAATGGATGACCGTCATTCGTCACGTTAATGCTAATTTCGTAAAACTGGGTCACTTTTTTGCTATCGAGGAGGAAGTGCTGAAGGAGGTATTCATTTATATTCCCCACTTTTACATTGTCTGGGTGCAGCATGTTTAATTTGGCTCCTTCCTTTTCGTCTGTAGTAAAATTACTAAGGAGCAATTCTCTCAGGCCCATGACATCAAACTTGAACGAAATGATGACATAAATGATGGTGCATTGGGGTGAGTCCTGCATTTGGCAAACTTTGTAAATTACTTTTCTGTTTTTTTCAAGCTTGAAGATTATGTTATGGCTAGTTATTTTTTTCCCCCGCTCATTGAAGAAGGCGACTTGATTTCTTCTTCCCGCACTGCACTGCTGGTTTGGTTCTTCGCTTTGTTGTGCTCCTCCTTTTTTAATCGCATCTCCGCTGTGATGTGCACCCCTCTTTTTTGACTCGCCCACGAAATTTAGTCGTAGACTTTTGGCATGCCCAACACACTGAACTAAGTAAACGTGCCTGAAATGCGTCTTCATCGTGTCATATTTAAGGGAGCATTCCTCCCTATTTTGGATTTCTATGCTGAATGAATCTCTGTCCAACAGACTTTGTACTTCCCTTGGATCATTTTGAGAGCACAAATTAGTGCATCTGACTATGCCCATAATGACGAATGTGCTAAGCAGCTTTCCTATCATTTTTTTGACGTTGTTTTGCCGATATGGAAGATACAAGAGGTAAACCCAAGGCACATTAACTTCATATTTCCGGTGGCCGTCAAACTATGCTTAATAGCAGATATGTGTAAAGGAAGAGGAGAAATGGATTATTCTGCTGCCAAGATGGAGCACTATACATACACATTTTGGTGAACCCTCCCCCCCCCAATAAAGATTCCTGCTCTTGCTATTTTGGATGTGTCTACTTATTTCTATTTCTTTGGATTAAACGTGGAACACATTTGGTGAGATGGAGCGGGGAGAACTCACAGGAGAGCTTTCCCTACATCTATGCGTGTCTACAACTGCCAGTTTAAGCTTACACATTTGAGCATATGCACACCGGGGGGTACATAACCCTGACGGATTTGGTACTATGTATACTCATATAAGTTTGCCCATAAATGTGTCCATAAATTTGTCCACAAATGTGCGTATACACATGTGTATCCATTTTAGTGGTGTACAAAATCGGGGGGTGTCTCATTTATTCTGCGAGTCCGCCCCTTTCCCTCTACATAGTCGTGTTACAATTGAATCGTCACCAATTTGTGCACTACTTGTAGGATGGATAGCTACGCGAAAGGCACGCTAACGAACAACGGCTTCATAACAGAAAAGTGTGAAGAATGGAAAAGAAAAAAAAAAATAAATAAATGAATGTCAGCAAATTGTTCCGGTAAAAAGAAAAGGACAAGGGTTTCTTTCCTGAATTGTAAATTGCTTATTCATTCAAACATCTTTGCTTTGCTTCCCGAAATATAGAAAACTCCCAACATTAAGTGACAGAGATGGAAGTGCTAAACGTGCTATCGAGTCCTGTACCAAGTGTACATAATTTGCAAAATATGCAAAAAAAAAAAATTTCTAAGGTTATGTGGAGTGCACACAAATCACGTTTTGTAACGAGGACTATCTATATTTTGTACAATATAATGGGAGGTTTTTAAAATGTCGACAAAAAAAAAAAATCGAACTAGCCACTTGTAAAACATCCACTTATCAAGCGTTATGCAGGAAAAAGAAAAAAAAAAATGGAAAAACCAAACGGCCATTTTAACTCCCCTAAGCATACCTACTGCTAGTTAACACAAAGACAATGTATAACTGCAGCTATGACACTGTACGCCAGTGCGAGTCATAAAATGTCGTTATTCCTATTTGTTAAACGCCTTTCCAGTATGGTACAAGCGGGAAAAGGGAAAAAGAACAAATGTGGAAATGTGCTGAATTCACTGTGCTGCAAATGGTTAAAAAATATCCTGTTCGTTGAAAATAAGATAAACTGACGTTGTACCATTTGGAGAACATGCCTTTGTGGGTGTGCACTTTGAGAGGATGTGTATTTCAGATTGTCATACGTGACTGCACATTTATCGAGTTCCCCTGAAAGTTTCCGCGTCATGCGGCGGAGGCGCGCGCTGCGCATGTGTACATGCGTGGAAGAAAGGGTAATTGCATAAATAGGGGCAAAAATGGGGGAAATATATGCACCTATATACGAGTGCCCTGCTTAGCTGTTGGGTATCGCCTAAAGTGGCACCTTGTTTTTTTTTGCCGCGTAGGAGCCACATTTTAAGGTGCTGAAATTTTCAAAAAAGAAAAAATTTCTCGTCCCAAGTCTATGTACATATAGTTTTTTCTTTTTCGAACTATAGGCAGCTGTGGAGTACGATTTGCAGCCAATCTGCGCGGGAAAAATAGCGGCCATTTTGTCAGTTGGGTGGCTAGATAGTTAATGGCTTTTATTAGTGAGTGCAACATGTTGACCCCGTTTCCCATTTGGCATTTCCCATTTGATATTTCCCAGTTGGTATTTCCTATTTAGCATTTCCCATTGTGCGTTTAACCCTTTTCTGTAGATAAGTGGGCATTCTTCCCACTCCACGCACTCTTTCGTTTCTCAGTGACACCTAGGCATAGACAAAATCACATTTTAGGTAAAATAGAAAAATTCGGGGGGCAGGCGCATATACGCTACATTGTCATAGTAATAACTGAAGAAGAAAAAAAAATTGAGAATCCCCAAAGTGTGAAATAAGTACCTGCCACAAATGGCACTTTGAAGAAAAATAATTCACTTGGGTGTTATTAAAAATGTTCCACGCCCCATTAAGTACCGTAAGTGTTAAACACTTGTTAGGGGGGTAATTTCTTTCATGCGCAAAATGTACATATATGCATATATGTATGCTAGTATGCACAATTGAGTGTGTGCGCATAGCGAATTAAAAAAAATAATAAAATAAAACAAAATAAAATAAAGTAAAACAAAATAAAATAAAGTAAAATAAAGTAAAATAAGGTAAAATAAAGTAAAATAAAAACGTTAATAGGTGAAACGTTCAATTGGTGTTTAAATGATAAAAAAAAAAAATAGCAACATTCCTTTTTAAATGAAATTTATGTCAGTGCCAAATTGTACTTCAATTTTTTTGAAAGCATTTTATTTTGTAGTATTCTTTTAAATGAGTTAACATTTGTGACCTTTTCCGTTCGGCCACAGAAATATAGCAGAATAAGTTAACACATACGAATGTATGTAAATGGGTGAACCCGTACGTATATCTATGTATAAGTATGCATATGTGATCTTATGTAATTGTTTGTAATCATTTAATCGGTGAACTTTTGTTTTTTTTTTTTGTTTTTTCTCATCCTTCAACGAATTTGAGAAACAGTAAAGCCATAGCAAAAAAAAGAAAAAAAGTGGAAAAGAAGATGAGAACCAAAAATAAGGAGTAAGGATTAGCAAGGCATAAAAGAAGAGGCCAAGGGGAAGAGAAGCCATAGGGAGAAACGAATGAGGTCTCCATAACGAAAGCGCATTTACAATTGCATAGACGTTACCGCCACGTAGCAAAAGAACCCCCCTGCGCAAGAATTCCCCTCACACACAGACACACCACCTTTTCGCCTTTATACAATAAGGAGGCACACAAACGTGAAAGAGGAGAAACAATCGATGAAGTTATGAGGTTAGAGCGGAACCATTACTTACACGTATGCGCCCCACGTTTCGCATCAGTTTGTATACCTTCAGTAGCCATTTATACCAACTAATTTGCACCATCGCATGTTGTACGAAAGTTGCGTGGTTTGGGGGCATGCTCCAAGGCATTTGCTCACTGGTCGTCTCAGAACCCGCCAAAAGAGGCCATTGTACATTTTACACACCGTCCTGCTGTTACCGCTCCCCTAGCCCCGCAGTCAGAATGGATAACAAAGAAAGCATCAAACTGTACGTAAAGAAAGTGATAGAGCACAGGGAAATTGAAAGCCAAGTGAAGAATCTCAGATTAGATATAAAAGAGCAAAATAAAATATACGAAAAGACTGAAGATAACTTGAAGGCACTGCAAAGTGTAGGACAAATAATAGGCCAAGTGCTAAAGCAGTTAGAAAATGACAAATTTATCGTGAAGGCATCAAGTGGGCCTAGATATGTGGTAGGATGCAAGTCCAAAATAGATAAAGCGAAATTAACAATAGGCACGAGGGTATCATTAGATATGACTACACTGACAGTTATGAAAAGATTGCCATGTGAAGTAGACCCATTAGTATTCAACATGATTAGTGATATAGACAAAAGCGAAAATAGCAAAAATAAAGTGAACTACAATCAAATAGGAGGATTAAGTGAACAAATAAGACAAATGAGGGAAGTGGTGGAGTTACCAATACTTAACCCCTTTCTATTTAAGAGGGTAGGAATTAAAACGCCCAAAGGGGTGCTCCTGTACGGTCCACCAGGTACAGGGAAAACGCTACTAGCGAGGGCTATGGCGTCCAATATTAACTGTAATTTTATGAGAATAGTAGTCTCAGCTATTGTAGATAAGTATATCGGTGAAAGTGCAAGAATTATTAGAGAAATGTTCAGCTATGCAAAAGAACACCAACCGTGTATCATTTTTATGGACGAAATTGATGCCATAGGAGGTAGAAGATTTTCTCAGGGTACCTCTGCAGACAGAGAAATTCAAAGAACGCTCATGGAGTTACTAAATCATTTAGACGGTTTTGAAGAATTAGGAAATGTCAAAATTATTATGGCTACGAACAGACCATATGTGCTAGACCCAGCGTTAATTAGACCTGGTAGATTAGATAGAAAAATTGAAATTCCACTACCGAACGAAACTGCGAGAATTGAAATTTTAAAAATTCACGCCAATAAAATGACCAAACTGGGGGATATAGACTACGAATCGGTTTGCAGATTGTGTGACGGCTTCAATGGAGCCGACCTCAGAAATGTCTGTACAGAAGCAGGCATGTTTGCGATCCGGGCTATGCGCGATTACGTCATTGAGGAGGACTTTTACAAGGCCGCTCGAAAGATTAATGAAGCCAAGAAGTTGGAGGGTAAAATAGAGTACGAAAAGATTTAGGTGCATGTCCGCCGTGGGGAAAGGTTGATACGTGGGGCAAGCGGGAAAGATAAACGAAGTTACAGAAGCTTGTAATGTGTGGCACCAAATGGTGACAAAATTGTAACGGAGTAATTTCAACACGGCGCTGCAGTTACACCTTGTTGCCAAGTCGGGAGTATTTACATGCACAAAAAAATTTTCAAAACGGAGGGAAAGAGGAAAAAAAAAAAGAAAAAATAATAATAATAAAACGCTGTATGTATGCCCCACAAAACCTTCCTGCATAAGTTCCTGTACCAATTCGCCATATGTTATTCCTTTTTTTTTTTCTTTTTATAACGATCGACAAATACTTTCATTTTATGAATCAATTAAACAATTCTTTGTTTCCCCCAAACTTCAGTTAATGTATGTTCTTGCGTATGTATACGTATACCCTTGTGCATATATGTTACAGATATAACATGCAGACACGTATAAGGACAGTTTTAAAAAATTGAAAAATTTTACCTTTTTTTTTTACTTTTTTTTTTTCTATTGCTTTTCATTTCGTTCAGTTCAAATTCCATTATCTGCCTTTGTTCATTGTCTACTGTCTAAAAAAAGAAAAAAAAAATTTTCAAATGTGTTTAGTCTACGTGTGATGATGAGTATGCAACACACGCGATTAGGTAGGCACAATCATATGCATATGTTAATCGGAAGGTACATAATTGCGCGTCAGCCATACAACTCGGTTAAGATAAGGCCTTCTTTTTTTTTTTCTTTTTCCTTACTCGATTAAAATCGAACTCTAACAAAGCAACTGTCTCGAAATGCGGAGTTCGTGGGAACGTATCCAGTGGAATGATTTCCTTGACCATGTAGCTGAGCGATGAAACGTGCGCATAAAAAAAAGGGTAAAAAAAGGATGAAGTAAAACAATATGTGAAACGGCTTGTGTGCTACTGCGAAACGAATAATTCGCCTACCCCAAGTTGGTCAAATGGTTGATGTCCCGAAACTGGCTGTTCGCATTGCATGATATGTAGATGATGTATCGACAGCAGAGCCCCCGTAGCCATCTTCTGAACACCTGTCATGTGCGCAAGGGAAAAGTGGAAACATGTTCGCGTTGCGCAGTTGCTGCGGTAACGGGTTGGCCAACTCGTTACGCTGCTTTGCTGCATCCTTCTGTGCCCCCTTTTTTTTTTCTTACTTTTTCGCATCCCTTCCGCGGAGGGTTAATGATCACCAAGTCGGGGACTGGAATGACAAATTCTGCGAGGGAAAGTAAAAGTATTAAAAGAAGGGAGGTGGAATAATTGTAGGCGTGAAGTATATCTCATTTGCTGCCCCCATCGACGCCATCCCCATTCGCTCTAGCATGAATCGCTTTTCCCATTCGTTTTCCTGTTTTTTTTTTTTTTTTTTTTTTTTTTTTTTTTTTTTTTTTTTTTTTTTTATTTACCTCTAGATGAGTGGGAAACTTCGTCTACTTTGTTCGAATCCACCGTCGGAAATTTTCCATCCTGTGCATTTTGCAAAACATGGTCATCATAATATGTGTGATCATTTTTGGAAAAACTGTTGCAGACATTCCCGTTCGCCTCTTTGGAGGGCCATTCGTTTAAATGTGCATAAATGAAACTTGGCAAGCTGCTATAAGGGGAGTGAACCTGAGTGTGAGATAGGAAAGAAATGTGACATGAGCGAAATGGATGGCATTTTTTTTTTTTATGAACACGCAGAAACGACAAAGAAGGGGGGGACGTATACTAAGAGGCAGACACACATACACAGCCTTGAACACAGCCTCGAACACAGCCTCGAACAAAGCTACAGGCTTTCCCCCCCATCCTGTTCTAACTTGCACGTTCTCCACAAGGGCCCCTTCACTGTCTGCTGAGACGTACGTGGAATGAAGCTTCTCCTTCAAGAGGTAATACACGTCATAATTTTTCTCTTTGACCAAATTGACAATGTACCTCCTGATGTGAAGATTGATTTGCCTCAAACTGTGCAGGTTAAACAAATTCAAATTGAAGCATTTTACGTTTTTGACGTTATTCATTTTTACGTTTTCTTCTAAGCTTTTTATATTATCTATGGAGTAATCTACACAGATAACTTGGCTGAATAGGTCAGAAAGAGGGAGAGAATAAAAACCAATCCCACAGAAAAGGTCATACACGCAAGATTGTTTGGCATTTATTTTGTAACTCTTGACTAATTTAAGAATGATCTGAACGATGCATTCGTTTAAGTGCTGATTTGGCTGGAAAAAGGTGTTGGCTCCTAATTTATAGGTATACCCCCCAAAGGAATGATAAATGCAGTTTTGGCCGTATAAAGTGACTTCATTTCTGTTTTGTTTTAATTTATTCGTTTCGACGTTGTATATGATGCCTTTAATGGATGTATTTTTGGAGCCTAAGTTGTGGGAAATTTTTGTGAGGGCTTTTTTTGCCTTTTCATTTAGCGAAAAGCCAATAAAGCTCACTAAAATCTGCTGCTCAGAGATGTTCTTGCTCAGTTTGATGTCTACACCTTTTAGGTAGCCACTGTTATTTATTTTGTTAAATACGTAAATATAATTTTTTTTAAAATTGTCTAATATTTCCTTTTTAATTTGTTCATACACATTTTGTATATGCTCATCGTGAATGTGACATTTGTTTACGTCGCAAATTTCGTAGCTGTGCTTTTTGTAGAAGCCGATTGATAAATTGTCAGTCACGGATAAGTTGATGGAGGATTTATTTCTGTAATGGTAATCGTTTGAAAATAAAAAGTCGTACATCTTTGCGAAGTTCGCACGTTTAGCCTTAGGGATGTCCCCATGTTTGCCGCTTCTTTCGTGACTGGGTATGCAGCTTGCTTGATCAGGGGTGCGTTCCCGACTGGTGCTACTGCCACTTTTGCTATTCGTTTCACCTGCGTTGTCTTCTTCTTCCAAGTCGGTAGACGTATACTCCCTCTTTATTTGGGAAATCTCGAGCAGGTCTTCCTCATCCGCTTGCCCCTCTTCACAGAAGTAGTGATCATTTTGTAGGTAATCTTTTCCACTAGCTAACACATTTATGTTATACTTTTCACACAAACTAGTCAAGAGGTTTTTTTTTAATTTCCGTTCAAATTTGTAGTCGATATGTTGATATATACACCCCCCACATTTGGAAAAGTATTCACACCGGGGCACAATTTCGTATTTGCTCTTTCTCGTTTTGCAGAGCACTTGGAAGGTTGTTTTTTTTTTCTTCTTATTTATGTCCAGAACTTTTAAATTGACTTGCTCGTCTGGAATCAATAAAAAGAATTTTAAGAAAAACAGCAAGTGTTGCCTTGCTGAGTATATCGCTATCTCTCCGTACCCCTCAGGGTCGACTCTGTGTACCTGTTATGCGGAAAAACGTTCATATGTGCGTGGGAACACGTGTGCAAATCGGTAGGTATAATACTAGCAAGGACACAATTGCACACCCGATTTATACTTTTATCTATGTAGGGACATGTCTCCATAGGAGCAGAAAGGCAGCCCGAATGCACAAAAAACGGGACATATCGCAAACATTGTAGTGTCATTTTTGTAGACCACATAAAACGGAGCGAACTATATAATACAACTGTGGACATTTCTTTATTTGCTTTTTCGCCATGAAAATACTAACTTTGACTCCTTGTAAAATTTGATTCTCATACAAGCCATTGTAAATGTTACTCCTGTAAATTTTAAAATGGTCATACTCTTTACTTTTGGTAAGTGTGATTATTTTACTTTCACACGTGTCGGAAATTTTCCTTTTGGAAATATGCTGATGGAATATTACGCTTTTGAAATGATGGCGAGTTGGAAACTTAAGGCAAATTAAGTGATGCATTGTGTGTCATTTGTCGTTTGCGTGTGGTGAGTTCAGCCCACTCTTGTGAAGGGGTCGATAGGGATAAATGGTGTGAGATTTCCGCGATGTTGCGGCGCGGTGACGACGTGTACACAAATGCCAACAGCCCTGCATATCATGAACTTGTGTCAGCCTGCTCAGGCATAAACATATGGCGTGTTAAGGAGCTCAAAGGGAAAGTTATTCACGGAGATATACCCAGATAAAAGATTCACTGTTTTAAAAGCACTAACCGTACCAATTCAAATTGTCAACAAGGAAAAAAAAAATTTAAGAGAAATAAAATAACGGCAAAGTGAACCGAAAAAGGGAGTACATATAGAAAGTAACAGATCCTAATTATATCATGAAATGTGATTACGTCCGTGTTGTACATTTTTAGCGGTCATATCGAGCATTGTTATTCACTAATTTTATCAGGAGAAAAAAAGTTCTCTTCCTGGAATGTCGACCCAATTTTCTGCCTTTGTATACCTTTCAAAGCTGTAATGGAGTCTGTGCAAGTCAAACATGGTATGTTAATTTTACGACATGAGGATGAGGGATGTACAACAGCTGCATTTGTTGCTGTGGAAGTGTTTAACGTGTGACCTAGTTGCGAAACAATTCTTTTTTTTTCATAACAGGGTGTGTAGTTTCACAAAAAATGTAAGAAATACGCCCAAATGTGTCTTTATATCACATGTGATGTCTTTAAAAATATTTACCAATTTGGGGGCGGTGCTTCCTCACTGCGTGTATGACTCTATGCACATCTTTTGCTTTGGCACAAGAGAACCGCGCAAGGTAAAATATGGGGAGCACTAAAAAGGTGTACACTTACCATGGCGACTCCCAACAGTTTCCATTATCGCAAATGCGCACAAGTAAATAGCTTCCTTCATTCTCCAATTGGCCGATAAAAAAGTCATATGCTACATGCATATTTTGCGAGTCTCCATGAGTTGGTAAATTGGATATATGCAAATTCAATTTTTCTGAAGTGCAAAATTACAAGCGTGCGAAGTTGCTTATCGCAGTGGTGCGGGAAGCATTTCGCCGCATGTGCGAAATAATGCTATGTGCACATGTTTAACTGTTTTGCATATACGTTGTCTTGTTTTATTCTTAGCTGCGCGCATTTTGACTTTTCTAAACTGAACAGATTTTTGTGTGGGACCTTGTTAATTCGTAAAAAAAAACAAAAATTGAAAGAAGGAAAATACGTTTAAAAAGTATAACACACCATTAAAGAGGCTATCCTTGAATGTTACGCATTTTTTTAAGCGTTTTGTTTCGGCATTTTTTGAGCGTTTGATTTCGGAATTTTTTAAGCGTTTCATTTCGGCATTTTATTTAAGCGTTTGATTTTGGCATTTTATTTAAGCATTTCTTTCACTTGATTGTTCAATTATTTCTTTATGTATCGGGCTTTTTACACGCTTGCCACTTCGCATGTTCGCTTATTCTTTTATGTTCCCAGGTTCGTCCCTAGAAGTCGTCACGTTTAAAAAGTTGTGATTCACGCGTATGCACATTCCTTTTTAAAGAAGCTTAAATGGTTACTTAAAAATGGTTTAAATGAGTACCATTTGCAATCAATCAGTCAATCAATCTCTCTTTTTTTTTTGTTTTTTAACATGAGTTTCATTTTTTTTTTTAATTGAAAAACATTCAGTGAAATAAATTTAGTCGTACCAATGCGATATTACGATATTGTGCGTTTATTTATTCACTATATTTTCTTTCTTTGTTTTTTTTTTTTGCTTTTTTTTTTTATATACATTCATTAAAGTGTATTTCCTTTTTATTTTTCTCTAATATAAGTGAACGCAAGTAATCAAGCTTTTCCCCCCTCCATGCGGAAGAAAGCCAACCTGGTTGTTCAGAATAACTTGTCATAAGTATGCCTGTACCTTTTGATGGCGCACTAATACTGTGCCCCTTATGGCGTACGTGAGTGTATAAAGCCGTGCGCTTGCCTACGTGCCTGCGCGTGTGCCAATGTACGTGCGCGTATAGCATGTGTTTGCGTGCATTTTTACGTACACCCCGTATGTCACGTGTGAGCGCTCGCCTTTTTGCGCCCTTTACCCGTTTTACACCATTTGCGCGTTTACCTATGAGCCTACCTACGTACATGAGAACACATGTGGAAATGTAGGCACATATGGCTTGAAAGGTATGAGCCCATTTTTATGACCCTCCCCCCTGCACCCACTCCTTCACCTTTTTCTTATTGTTTATGATGATAATAGCAGTTGCAAACTTTATTGTCTTTCTTTTCCATTTCCACACTCTTTTGTTGCAAGAAAAATAATACAAGATGCTTTTCTTAAAATGAATTCTTTTGACAAGTATGCTTCCACTAGTTTTTCTAACTTCGCATGAGTGAAAGGAAAGATTGTATAACGTAACGCTGCTTGTTAATTTTTTTTTTTTTTTTGTTTCTTTGTTTTGGGTTATATGTGTGCAGAATTGTAGCTGTTTTTTTTTTTTTTTCCCTGCCTCTTTGTTCGAAAATAATCTTTGGAAGATGAAATTATTCGTCATACTTTTTTGTTTAGTGATATTTTTTTTTGAGGAAAACTTCGGTGTTAAAATATACACAAATGATTCAGCCATATTTGACATTAACAGGGTGCTAAAAAGCAAACTTTCAGTACTATACAGAAAAGGAAACAAATTAAACAACTATTTTTTTTCGTACATTGAGAAGAATGGCAAGAAGAACAAATGTTATAAATACATACAAGATGCCTTGTATGACTCGAATACCCAGATAATGAAAAGTGAAATATTGAAATGTTTAAATACGAGTAAGGATATACTGAACAAAACTTTCCACGATGTTATTAATAAGCTATTTTTATACATCAAAAATGTCTTTTTAAAAAAGTATTTCATTTTTTTCCTTCTATATTTGATAAACATTAATTGCGACAGCTTAGTGTCGCAAATTAACGATCCCTATGTGTTGAACAATTACAATTTGGCTGAAAACGCCTCTCCCGCCATGTACAATTTGAAGTACGAAGAGGTGGAAATACCCAGTGCGGGAAAAATAAAAGGTTGGTTAATTAAGTCCAACAAAAAAAGCAACAAGTTGTTTTTACTGCTACATGGATATAATAGCAATAGACAAGCATGTTTATTCTTTTTAAATATTTTAAAAAAATTAAATGTGCATCATGATACGAATATATTTATACCAGATATGAAAAACTTCAATGAAAAGGGAGTAGACGACATATACAACATTCTAATTTACTTCAAAGATAGAATGGCATTAAATGATGTAAATGTGTACACACAATCGTCGACGAACCTTCTTGTTTTGCTTCTGTCCAAACATTATAAGAACAAAATTGTTAGCAAGTCTAAGCAGAAATTTATCAACAATATTATTCCCTACAACAGTGAGAAAAAAAATGGAGCAGAGGACGTAATTTATATAGACAAGTATATATTTGACTCCCCCATATTGAATCTCCACAGAACAATTAACCTTCATTTTAATTTGCATGATATCCAGAAAAAAATAAATGAAGAAAAAATGAAAGCCAATGTTGATATGAATAATATGTATGACAAGAAGACCGTGTTGAGTTATTTTATTTCCTTTTTTATGTGGCTACTGAACAACCAACTGAAGGGACACCTGTACGAATTCGACTTCAACAAACTGGTTAATGAGAATAACATCAACCCTGCGAACATATACATTTTGCACTCCTTCAATGATAACATTTCGCTGCTCAACATCCTCTCCCAAGAGGTGAAGGAAAACCGATTATTGCCCCTCAGAAATATTTACATATTTAAGAACGGGCGACACGCCAATATTTACGAATCCTCAAAGAAAGAGTATGATTTGATCGTGAAGAGGATTATAAAGGGGTTCAGCATTTTCGATTTTCTATACTACATCCCAATGCGCTCCAAGATGAGTTCCCTGTCTTTTTAGCGGGGGTGCGAAGTGGTGATAACTGGTAAGCAGTTGTGATAAGTGGATAGGCTTCCATTTGGCGAAGAAGCAAACAGGTTGAAGACATCAAAAGGCGCGGCTTATCCAGAGAAGTGGTATCACATCAGGACGGATATAGTGCGTATCGCATTCTCACAACAGTTGGCAACATAACGCAAAAGACGTATGTACGAATTAAATTCAGCCTGTGGTGCATTTTTGCAAATTTTTTGCAGATAAAAAAGGAGGGATCGATGAGGAAGGCGCGCCATTCATTAAACACGCACTAGCATGTGTGGGAATATTATATATGTGTATAACGTGCAATATATAATATTAAGTCTAATCACTTATCGGAAAAGCGGCCATTCGGTCAACCAATCTGAGTCTAGCTTTTCTGAGAAACACCTTTTTTTTGGATATGTGTCTATCAGAAAGGTCGTGTCATGGCATATTCTTGCTTTACCAGAAATATTTTAAAAATTAACTTTATTGCTTTTATAGTTTACTGTTATTATTTATGCGTATTTGCATCACCATGCGCGTCTACATACATGCATGGATTATGGTTCGTTCCAGCTTATTAATGAAGCACAAACGCGAATGTGTATATGTTCCGCATTATTTACACAATGTGAAAGATCTTTTAAAAAGAACGTACTACAAACAAGTGTAAGTGGTGCACATATGTATATGCATTCGAGTGGGTAAATAAATTTTTTTTTTTTTTTTTCTTTTTTTAATAGTAATGACTTATTAACACACTGGCAATTATTAAAATGAAATTTCTTTGTTTTTATGCAGTTACGTGGAGTAGTATGCCTCTCGGCAGGGGGGAAAATGGGCCGTAAGTATATCCAACTTGTGCGTATCGCCGGCTGCACATCGGGGTAGCTTACCGAAATCGGTTTTTCCCCTCCTTCCGCGTTAGAATCGTTTATACAGTGCTGTATCTGTCTTCCCCCCGTCTCATCTATTCTTTTGTGCGTATCTTCTTCGTGACTTAGTGGAAGGTAAATTCATAACCCTTTTTTTATATGACTTCCTGGCTTTCCACTTAAAATAAAGTACCTTTCTGAAATTATCTTCTTTGCATACATTCCTAGTTAGCATGAATGAGGAATTGTTAGGCAAGCTGTATATGGCTAGGGAGGCACTTTTATTTACTGCTTCTTCCGTTTGCACTCTACGTATGACGTTATCTAAGCGGCCAATTTGCTGTAATTTCAGTTGTGTGTTCTGTCTTGGTTCTACTTTCTCCGTTATCGAGTTTGTGCTAATTGTGCATTTGAAAAAGTTGCATAATTTGTTATTTTTTGCCCCAAGAGGTGTCTTAAAAAATAAGGCGTTTTTTGTTAGTCTGTTAAAAAATGGCATATACATGATTCAGTACCAGTTGTTGCGTAAGGGGGGTGGAAAAATAATAAGGCGTTCCTTGTTTTTTCTTTTTTTTGCTTATCATAGAGAGGATAAGGAGGACGCAGCACAGGTAATCAGCATTCTCTTTTTCGCGTGTAGGTTAATTCATACATGGGTGATATTTTAGCTAATCGTTGCATTCTTCGTTGTTCTGCCATAAGAGGGCGCCTTTTCGAGCAATGCAGCAAACCAGGTTATACAAAGAATGGCAAAAATGGAATAAAAAAAAAAAAAAAGATTTGCCCATTTACACTTAAGAGGTGAACACGTATAATTTTCCTTTCTCAACAGTCAAAAAAGGAGGAACAGGAATCATATCGTACACATGTGTTTCTTTTAGATAAGCAAATAACTCTTTTTAAAGTAAAAAAAAAAAAAAAAAAAATTACTTCGTCGCAGAGCTAAAATATCGCTATTGCGTATTTCCACAGGGAAAAAATTTATCCGCCATTTGCAATAAAAACAACGGATAGGTATCACTTCATAAGTGTGTGCCAAAAATGGGGGAAGTACGAATAAACAAGGGGATGTACAATTACAATGAGAAGATGCCTAAATAGAGGAAAACAAAAAAAAAAAAGGAAGGAAACTTAAAAACAACATCTTCGCGTCATTTGCGCGTATATACGTACATCTGCATTTTTCGCTCCGTGCGCCTCATTCTTTCCGAAACATGTGTTTGACGGATTCTTCAAAACAGCGAGGGCGGTTCGTTGGTGGGGGTCCACCCGAAAATGTTTAAATGTAATATGGGAGAAAATGTGAGCAATTGTGCCAGAGGGGCAAGGAGAGTGCGCACTTGTACACACATACATACATACGTACGTACGTACACATATTTATGCCCTCCTTTTTGTGATCATCTTGCTCAAATGGATGCTTCCCCCAAGACGGTTAGCTTCCGCTTGACAGTTTCGGAAACGCTCCCCTGGCCCTTATACTTACACACTCATTCTGCATCTTCGTCACTTTATTCCCCGCTATGAAGTTACGTGGAATGCTCCTGTGATATCGCCATGCTGCGATGCCGCGACCCTGCGTTCCCATGTCTGATGATGTGGCTCCATAGCTGCACTTCCAACAGGATGAACCGCCACGTCACTCGCATAAACTAATATTGCAGACCCAGATACATGGCCAACTGATAATCCAAAAATGTAACCCTTTTGTTTAAAAACGTTTTCATTTTCTGAATAAAAATCTCCTCAATTTCTACCATTACGGAAATGAGCACTTGGAGGAGAATGATAAAAGATACGAAAATAAAAAAAAACAAATTGGCTTTTACGTGGAAATGGAATGGATCTTTTATTTCGAGAAAGATGGTGATGTGTATTAGCGAAGAAGCAAACAAAATTATTAAGAAGTTGAAGTATTTTCTTAATTTTAAAAAGAAAAATCGATTCGGAATGTTTTGTTTTTGTTCATTTAGTATGAAAACTGTCAGTTTCGTTATTTTTTCATTCTCTGTAGATTTATTCGTGTGTGCTTCCCCTGTGGCGGCGTATTTTATTTCGTCATTTTGTCCAGCTTGTTCAAATGAACACGGGTAATTTCCATGTCCTGTTAAACTGTTACACAGTTGTGTTTGTTTCGAATCTGTTCCAAACGGGGTCGCGTCATATGCGTTAAAAAGCGAATGAGTGAGACCTCCTCTCATGCTTTGTAAAAGAACTAAGTTTCCCCCACTCATAGTAGGTGCATTTTTTCTCGTGCTACTTTCTCCGCTGTTGTGTGCATATCGCGCGTGATGATTTTCTGGGTTTGTCGCATTGTAATGGCCATTTTTGAGTTTGTCAAGTATTTCATGGTCCGCAAAGCGTACAGAGGATTTTTTTTTAATGGACAAGTTGTTACATGCATTCATAAAGTGCTCCGCATCTGTTAAAGTTTTCCCTTTGTGTCCGCCCCTTTGGTGACCTTCCAACCGGTTGAAAAATGAGTTGCCGTTTTTTTCATGCAGGGAAAATTGCTTCCTAAAAAAGGACGAGTACTGTGGAAATAGTTGGCTCATGATATATATTAAATTAACCCTGTCTAGGGAAAAAATGGCGTTTTTGATCTGATTTTTAAAAAAAAAATAAAAAGCGTTGTTTAACAATAGTATGTACAATTCTGCAATGATGATATAGAGAATACACAGTGTGCCTTTTGTGTTTCTGCTAGTCTCCTGATTGAGCAGTAAGTCCCTCTGTAGTATGGCATAGAAAATTAGGACATTCACGGAGTAGACGATTGTATGAAAGATGAGAAGTCTCTTCTGCATCTTAAATATTTTGCAAATAATGCAGTTTATGTGGTTCGTCAAGGTGGTGTACGCTCTACTGTTCTTATCTGCGTATATTCGATTCTTCTGAATGTGAAAGAGGGGGAATAGACGGACGCGCCAAGTGGTCCACGTGGGTGCGGAATTGGGCTTGTTTGGTGCGCAATTTGTTGGTGGGGTCGGTGTACAATTTTGAGCGCAGTCTGATTCCTCCTCCGTGTTGCTACTCCTATTTGAACGACCCCGCCGATCGTCAGTACTTTGTTTAACCGCGCACTTTTGAGCACCTTCCGGTGGCAAGCTTTGCGGAAGTCCTCTCTTGTCACTATGCACTCTTTTTTTTTCTCTATTTGGTTTTCCCACCTTGCTGGTTTTTTCCAGTGTGCATTTTTTGACTGCGCTCCGTTTATTTTCAATTTTTATGGAAATGTATTCCTTGGTATTTTCCCTATCGATTTTGTGGATGACCAATTTGGGGGTGCTCACATTTGTTGTTCTTTTAGGGGGATCTCTAAGTTGACGTTTTTCCTCATTTGGAACATGTCCATTAGTTGCACCACCTTTCAAAAGGTTGATTTGTTTTTCTGCCCTATTAATGTCTAGCTTATTTGAGTTAGCACAGTTTTTATTTCCCGTTTTTTCTTCATTTTCGCTTTTTTCTTTGCTATCACTTAGTGGTATTTTATTTCCTTCTTGTTTTAATACCTTTTTTTGTTTACCCTTGTGTTCCACTTTGCTGTCCCTTTTGGGGGTCTTTTCATCGATGGCCTCCGTTTCAGGTATGTTTTGTCTGTCATTCCTTTTGTGTTTATCACTGCTAGAAGTGTTAGGTTTAAAGGAGGGCGTGCAGCTCGCAAAGAGGTGACTTTCGCCTCTGGGTGTTTCAAACCGATTGTTCCTCCCCAATTTGTAGGTTCTCCCTTTCTGTGATTGTCTATGTGCATATTCGCAGGATATTTCTTCATCTTCTTTATGTTCTTCATCTTCTTTATTTTCTTCATCTTCTTTATTTTCTTCATCTTCTTTATTTTCTTCGTCTTCTTTATGTTCTTCATCTTCTTTATTTTCTTCATCTTGTTTATGTTCTTCATCTTCT